TATACCAACAGCTTTGGTGATCTCTTAGCAGGCAGCATACCTATCTTGTGTCAAAGCATTGCGAAATGCAAGAACATGAGTGACTTACAGTTTTGTGTAAATACAATTGTTGGTGCTGTTCCTAAATATACTTCACTGAGTTTTACAAAGAAAGATCAACATTTTATCCATACCACACAGGTGGGGAAAAGGAGTCAGTAAAGCTAAATGAACTGTTCAAGTTCATGTAATGAGACAAAGATACCAACAAGGAATCCAGTTCTAAGGTTCTGTGCACCAGAATCCACAACCCTCCGAACTTGAAAGAATGACCAAGGCATAAATCAAAACACAGGCCTCAATCGTGCAGTCAGAAGCAAGTCTGCAGTCAGCAGACTCTAAGCAAGACTAGGTCTTAAAGCACTAAATCCTCTATATGCTGAAGTGTCCTTGAGGCACACTCTTCGGATAACTTAAAAAATAAATGCACTGAAATATACAGTCATATTTAAACAGTATCTTGATCTAATATAGTCAATGTTACCTTGAAGTGATATAAATAGAAAGCTAATAATTCTCTTAAGCATCCTCCCTTACTACTTCTTATTGGACTAGCTTGTATCCTTGTAAGCTTAACTAATAAATTACAAATTTGAGACAGCCAGAAGGGCTGATCCACTGTATCACTCCTATAATCTTGGTTAGGTTGTTGAATCTTAGAAATTTCTTTGGAACCACAATTCTGTTAAAAGTTTCCCTGTAATAACTAAAGCTTCAAAGTAATGACTTACAGATTAACCTCCCTTAACACTACAGGGCACAGGAAATAAAGTACTGGAGTTATCTCAAGCATATGTAAGTTTAGCACTACACACACACAAATTGCAAAAATTACAGAATTAAGCTTAACACCTGAACACTCTGACAGAATTCATCCCAACTTTAAAAATAAACATGCAATAGTATCACAAACCCTACTGAAGAATAAGTAAACTGTGTTTTCTAAAAAAATACGAGTCTATTAACAGGTTTTTGTATTTGTTACTCTAAACTTAATCATCTGTTATACATTCAATTCAGCCTGAAGTGGGTCTATATCACTATTTCACAGAACACTTTGCGTTCTACTTGTGATCTGACCTCCTCATGCTCCCCACTGTCTATCTACATATTCATATAGCTCTAAAACCACAGTATCTGAACCTAATCTCTATGGTAACTGTAAGATTTGTTTACATTGAAAAAGAATATTAGAAATGTATGTAAATTTAACTGTCATTTAAATATGTGTTTTTTCCTTCTGGGGAAAAAGCTCCCTATACTGCTTCCTATTTATCTTGCTTCCATCTCCAGTACCCCCATCAGGCAATGAGCCACATTTGGAAAGCTTCTTGTCATACAACTTCAACAGCCTGTTATTGTAAATTCATAAATAGTTTACTTTTAATAAGACAGACATGTGCAGTATTTTAGATCTTAGCACTTGCTAAAGAAAAATCATAGAGAGGGCAATTAAAACACGATTTTTTAAAAATCTATCATAAAGTTGCCAAAGTAAAAAAAAAAAACATGCCAAGCCTTTAAGAGCTATACGGAAACACTCTGCAGCTCAGCAACTCAGAGCAATCTAGAAATTAAGAGACTATTTCATTTACCATTTCCAGCAGTGAATATAGTACTGGCTTTACATTTTACATAATAGTCATTCACAGACAGCAGGCAAAAACTCTGATAGTGAAAGAATCTGCATACAGACTACTCCTTTTTATTAATAAATACCAAAGAATTGATGTATCACAGGTTTGTAACAATTGCTTTCTATAAAATTTACAGTATTTTAAAATGATTTATTGCTGCCCAGCAGGACCGGGAGCTGAATTACATAGGGGTGATAGTAACATAAATGGCAGTTTGAGTGAAACGTATCAGCAAAATGGTAAAAAAAAACAAAAAACGACCCTAACAAACGCAGTCGTCAAAAACTACTTTTAGGTACACAGTTCTTGGCCACTCACAGAAGAAATCATTCTATTCCACCAAAGCGATCTTTTTTATATAAAGCTTGCATAATATACCAAACATAAATAGTCTAGAAAGGTCTAGGAGAAGGAAAATGCGTGACAGTGAGGTACATGAATACTACACAGCACCGAGAGGAAAATTAGAACCTGTTTGAAAATCTTTCCGCACCTTACAGCAATCATTTCACTGCAGAGAATCTCTTACATGCACCCTTCCCGATCACATCAAGATTATTCACTCAACAAAACTCCTATTGACGAATAGAAAGTAAGTAAATCTACCCTCTATTCAAGTAAACAATGTTGTAGAGCCAGCATTTCCCCCACAGCGTTACTTTCTCGAGCAGGGTGACTGTGCCCTGCTCCTCCATGAAGCAAGCTCAGCCCAGGCAGCCATGTCCTTATTCTCCTACAAACAATGTTTCTGAAGGAGAACAGCCCCTGCTCGGGAAACTTACAGCTTCCCCCAGCATAACGCGGCGGAGCAAAGCCCGCCCCACGATCAGCAAACGAGCCAAGGCACCGAAACACGGCAGTGGAGGAGAAGCTGCCCGCAGTCTGGATATGCACCAGCACCGAGCCTCGCACCGGGGTCGGGACAGATGGACTGACAGATAGGACAGCATTTCTTCGTGCAACCCTCCCTCTTTTCCCCTCCCAGGCACACGAGCGAGTGTTTTACCTTCATGATGAGCTCAGGCTGCGGTAAAAGCCTCGATCGTGGCTGAGCGGCCGAGGCTGGACCTGGAATTTAAAACAAAGCGCTAAGGCACCGCACCAGCCGCTCGCACCGGGCGGGGGGAGGGGAGCCAAGGATCGGGTGGGGGCGCTGGGCTCCTCCCGAAACTCCCCCTTTCCTTCCCCAGATCCCCCCTTCTCCCGAGGCTAACCCCCTTCCCTCTCTCCTGAGCCGCTGTTTCCCCCCCCGGCTCCCACACGCCGCGGCTTCCCCTACACTCGCCGCCACTGACGCCATTTCTGTCAGAGGAGGAGAAACTTGCCACAACAACAACCCACCCCCGGCTGCCGCGGGAGGGGGGAGGCGCCCCGGCCGCCTCCCCGGGGCGCTGCGCCCCCTCCCCGGGCACCGAGCGGCGAGAGGGCACCCGCGGGGGTCCCAGAGCAGAGAACACACCCCCTGCTCGCTTCACCGCGGGGAGAGGCAGAGAGGAGAGAAGGAGGGAGGGAGGGAGGCTGTTCCTCCATTGTACGAGGAAGAGTGCCCGTGTGCGCGGCGGGGGAGCGGGGTGTCGGGAGCAGTCCCCCCACCCCCGACACACACACACACGCTTTTGTAGGGGCTGCGGCTCCGGATCGCGGCGGCTCCTCCTCCCTCCGTCTCCCCCCCTAAATAAAGGAAAGCGCTGACTCCGCCGCAGGAGTTTCGGCAGCAACAGCCGCAACTCCCCGGCTCGGCGCAGCGGGTCCGGGCGGGGGGAGGGAGGGAGGGCGGGCAGGCAGGAGGCGGCGGAGGAGGGGAAGAAAAGGAAGAAGAAGAAGAAAAGAAGGGAGCGGGGACGGGGAGGGAGGGAGGAAGGGAGGGGGGCGGGGAGAAAGGGGCCCGACCTGCTCGGCGGGGACACGGAGCGTGTGTCTGTGTGAGTGTGGAGGAGGGGGCTCCGTCTCTCCCGGCAGAGAGGCTAAAGGAGAAGCCGCCGGTCTCTCCCCCCGGCCCGCCACTGGGTGTTTGGGGTGGGGGGGAAGAAGAAGCATCGGCGAGTCCCGCCGCAGTCTCGCTACGAGGAGAAAAACAAGCGCCCCCCTCCCTCCCTCGCCACCGCACGCCCGGCCTCGCACCCCCACGGGGCCCCTCGTCGCCTCCCCGCCCGCCGCCGGCGGGGCACGGGGGCTCCTTCTCCAGCTCGGCGCCCTCACCTTTGTTCCGCGGCGACCGCCCGCCCGCTACTCCCCCAGCCCGAGGCGGGGGGCACGGAAGAGAACTAGCGAAAGCTCCTCGCAGCTCCGGGCACCCCTAGCCCCGCTCGAAGCTGCTGCAGCGGCTCCGCTGGCGGCGGCCCCGCACGGCGCGCGGAGGGGGCCGATCCGTCCTGCGCGGCCCCGGCGGCGGTGACTGCTCGGCTCCGTCCCCCTCCCCCTCCCGCACCGATGACTGACTGACGGGCGAAGGGGAACGGCCACGCCCCCTCCTCCATCTTCCCCATTGGGCCGTGTCCCTCAGGGCCCGCCCACCCCGCGGTGCCATTGGCCCTCTCGTCGGAAATACTGACATCATTCTTCTCCACTTCTATGGAAACTGAGACTCGGCGCCGAGGGTGCTCATGGGGAACGCTGTTCTTGCTCGCTGCTCGCAGCATTTCCGTCAGGCAGCGCTGCGCAGCTCAGCGGACTACAATTCCCGGAGAGTACTGCGCGCAGGGGGGTGGAGCCCTCCGGTGAATGCTAACGAGCCGAGGGGGCAGGGCTTGCGCGTGCGCGGGGGGCGCTCGGTGGCGCATTTTCCCCCCAGGAGGGGAAGGTGGCGCCCGGCGGGGCGGAAGGAAGGAGGGGGGCGGTGCTCCCGCTCTGGGCTCTGCCGCCGCCAGCGCCGCCACTCCCGGAGCGGCGGCTGTTCGGGGGCGCGGCTCCGGCTGCCGACGGAGGAGGCGGAGGTGAGGTGAGGTCGCCTGCCCCGCTGGCTGTGGCTGGGGGGGTGGGATGCTGGGGTCCGGACGGTGGAGATAGAGGGGGCGCCCCGCTCGGAGGGGCCGGTCCGAGCTTGGCTGCATGGGAGCGGGTCCTGCGGCCGCCCCGCCCAGCTCCGCCCAGGAGGGGCTTGTAGGCTGCCCGGGAAGGGGCCGGGGAAAATAGGGCCGCCGGTAGTGCTGGGCGGTGCCGGCGGTCGCCGGGGCGGGTGGAGTGACTGACGGAGCGCTCCGGGACCGAGGCTGCGCTGGGCTGGCAGCGGGCGGTGCTTCCCGGCCCTCCCTGGCGGCTGAGCCCGACAGCGCCGATCAGAAAATGGGGGTGGACGGTGGGTGGGGGGGGGAGAGCGGTGCGTCCTCGGCTCTCGGTCTCCTAAAATGGCGCTGAAGAGCTGGGCCCGCTCGTCTTGGAGTTCTGCAGGCAGCTGAGGAGACTGCGCCTGTCGTGTTGAACTCCGAAAAAAATGAACCTTATTTCCCTCGGTGTGGCTGTGGCGGGAGTTTGGCAGCTGCAGACAGGGCGGCAGCAAGTTCATGTTCTCTGTGAAATGTGAGTTTTAACCACGTAACGCAGCGCTCCAGCTGCGGTCGTGGGTTTTGCCGACTCATCTTCTGTCTTCGGGTCAGCTCGCAGCTCCCAGACCCTCCCTGTCCGCCTGCGGGGACTTTGGCGACCCAGGTATTGTTCTCTGGCTTCTGCAGCATTCGTGCTCAATTTTTCCTAGAAATCCCATTTAAAATGGAGCCGCGATCCCAGGAGCAGCGTGCTCATGCTGTTCTGGCGTTAGTGTTGAAGTGGCGGCTAAGGAAAGCTGTTGTTTACTTAGCTGCATCTTCGGGGAAAATGTGTGGTCTGTGACTGCTCTTCCACCTGTGCGAAGCTTGCCTGCCCGCAGCTTGAATGCGAGGTGTTGTTCGGTGTCAGCCTAGGAGGGTTTATAAAAACGACTCTGCTAATTAGAATGGGAATGTGGACTAGTGTCCCAGTTGCATTTGGATTAAGATTCTGGTAGTCTCTATTTGAAACAATACATACTCTCTGTTTTCTGTGTATTCCTTTTGAAACTCTCCTTTTCACTCCTACCTGGTCCCCCTATTTGGGACTTCTTCCTCCCCCACTGGTTACAAGTCAGTGCACTAAGTTCTGTGATGGAGCTGATTTGAGAACTTTCTGAATGGTTCATTTTATACTGCAGTTCTCTGCTTCTTTGGTAGTTGTCTTTTATTTTCTCTGTAACTGCACTATGACTGAAGCGTGACGATACTTTTTAAAATGCCATCTGTATATTTAGCCTGGACTATTTCAGACTATTACATTCCCCCTATTTGGGAAGAGGGGAAAAAGGTTCCGCAGAGTGGGATGGAACAGGATAGCATGAGAAGTTGTTTTGGAGAGTTCTAAAGGGAAACTTTTTCTTGACATTTGACCTAGAATTAATCTTCATCAACTTTGATCCTCTCTAGAAAAGTCCTAGACACAGATCACAGTTTCAAGTATAGCTTTAGAGTGGTTCCACATTATGGCGGCCCGAATCACTACCTTATCCCAGTGTCATGTATGTTTTCAAAGAGGTCATCAGAGATAAGGTTTGATGCAGTCCGAAAGGCGGCTGTGCTGTGCGGGCTTTCTGTTGTGTGTGGCTGTTCTTTATGTCTATGTGAAGATACTGAGAAGTAACTGGAAAATTAACTGTGTTATGCATATAAATTGAAATGCAGCAGGTTTATGTGCTGGTTTACAAGGTAAAATGGCTGTAACTGCCTTAATCTTATGAATAAGCAAAGGTGTGATCAATTCTTGCACTTTCACTATCAAAAGGCTTTGTGTTCCTTTTCATTTATTGTTTTAACTGATGGATTTTACTTTTTATTGGGAGATGGTGACTTGAGATCTTGTGTCTAAATCACTGGGAAGTCTTTCTCCGGGCAACAGTGTAACTTCCAGAACAAATCGGTCAGTCACCTCGGCTGGAAACCCTTAATATCAAGTGTGCAGTATGTGATAATTTTGTGCAAAGAGCGGTAATATTTCGCATCTGGTATCATGGTATTTTTGCTTAGAGGCTTTTGTAAAGAATTCATTTGCATGTTTCTTTATCAAGTGTCCCTTTCTATATAAGTTTGGAGGAGGTTCTGTTCACTGTTTATGTGCCAGTGGGTGTGTTAAATGTGTAGCTGTCTGATGAATAATCAGACTTTTGTTTTTCCTTGGTGGGGATTTACATAAAATTTAATTTAATGGTAGAATAGTAGTATAGAAAATTTTAATTATATTGATTTGAGTTACTTTTGTTCATTAGATTTTTTTTGCCTTACTTTTATTAAAAGGAAAAAGAAAATAAGAATCTCTGCACTTGTGGCAGAAGTACCTGGCTAATTTTCTTCTGACAAGCAATATTTCAGGTGAACTTCTATTAGCTTTGTGCAGAAAGATGCAAATATTTAGGTTTATGCTATACAGTACCAATGAATTTCAAGTTAGTTGGGGATTCTGAATATTGGCTTACTGCCTTACAGATGAGAAGAATTCCCAGAGGGAAGAGGAAGAGCTTTAATATTTACTTCTAAGCAAGAACTTTTATAGGAAAGCACTTCCAATCCTAACATCTCTTCTCAGCCTAGCTGAATAGCTATGCACTTTCAATTCTATCATCGTTTGTGTAGGTTTTTGACAAATAATAGTCACAAGGGAGTTGTTAGGTTGATAGTATATCCTTATATCTATCTCGACCAGATTCCTTTTGCTTAAAACATTTGGGGGTAGACTCTGAAAATCCTTTGATTTTGCCTCCTCGCTGAAGTCCTTTGAGACTTACTCTTTGTATGTAAGGGTACAGTTTGACAGTTGGCTCTCAGTGGCAGTGCTGGTTGAAAGCACTTCAGCTACAACAAGCTGGCAACAAAATACAAAGTCAAGGGTATCAAATCTGATTTTGATTAGTGTGGGGCCTGACCACCAGTTGTGCTGGCACATCGTGGATAGGATGGAAAGGTTGTACTTCTTATCACAGCATCACTGCCAAGAAATTATGCAAAGCTTTCCCTAAAGGTGCAGTCTTATGAGCATTTTGTTGACAACTATATTCGGTTAAATATCCTTTCTTGCCCCTGAAGTGCCAATACATTTGATGAACACCCACAGTGAAGCAAATACAGGAATTGATCTAAACCTAAATTTGGAAAATAGTTATTAACACAGATCAGTTCCCCAAGTACAGACTGCTACAAATGCTTGTGGATGTTGGGGATGGGAATAGACAGGAACTGATTGAGCTATGCTCTCCCAGCTTCTTGTGCACCTGCTCCCTGGCAGAGCTTGCGAAATGGATGAGTCCTTCACTAGGATGAACATTACTTAGTAAAAGCCAAAACATTAGTATGTTATCAACAGTATTCTCACCCAGAGTGCAAAACACAGCACTGTACCAGCTACTAGGAAGGAAATTAGCACTATTCTAGCCAAAATCGGGACATTAATGTACATAAGTATTCATTTGCTCCATGAGGATAGACATAAGTCCTTTGCAGGATACTTGCAAAGTATCTGAGAAGTGATGCTGAAGTAGCATGAGACTTTATGTACTGCTGCAGTTCCTGTCTTAAAATTAAATGAGAAGAATTGTTTTGAGTTGCTGCATCTGCAGTGCAGCAAGGAAGGCTAGAGGTGAAAGGATAGCAAATCTATCAAAGAAAACAGTCTGAAAAGAAAATGCGGATGGAGGTGACCAAAAAATATGTGAATTGAAGCTAATCAGTAGAAAATTGTTGAGCTCTGTAGGCCCTGGATCCTAAAAGATTATTCGTAAGAGTCTATTACATTTATGGTGTATGGCAAAGTGTGTAGGAAAATGGTATATTTCTATTTTGACTTATAACAAAAGATTGAGGAATTATATAAAAAGACTGAAGTAGTATTCTGCTTCTTTAAGTTGTCTTGGTCTGAGGTGTATTTTCTGCTCTTGCACATTTACACTTTTGGAATGTCTAATGTATGGAGAAAGCGTTTAGGGAGATCTTACCAGATCAGTCATGTGAGTTTTTTCGTGTGGGGTTTTGTATGAATGTCTTTAAAGACTTGCAGTGGAGCTTCATTGTTGTGAATGGTAAAGTTTTAAATACTTTATCACCTCAGCAATCTACTACGTACAAAAAAGTAAACAAAGTCTAGGAGTTGGGTTCGACTTCATTAATAATTAAAGAAAATTGTATTTAGTGTGTATTATATGGTGGTTTATTGGTAAATGACATCTAGAAACCTTTTATATAATGAAGGTGTCATGTGCAAAATTGAAATATTTGCACCTAACCTATAAGTCAGCTGACATTTTTGTTGTATGTATCTATTGTTTACTTCCTTTTTTAATCTAAATAGTGTTAATAACGCTTTCTTTAACAGTGAACTACGTCTTAGGAAATAAAGAAATGGATGGGATGGATGAAACATCTAAAAAAATCCTAGAGCCATACCAGTATTTGCTTCAACTACCAGGCAAGTTTCTTTGTACTGTGTTGTTTAAATATCAAAACTGGTTTTACAGCAACTTTTGTCTTGGAAAGTATATGGCAAGAAGTTTTTCCATTCTTGATTTGTGGATTTAAGAATAATAAAAAGTAACACTTTTCAGTGTTTCACTTTTACTTGTTCTTTTCTTCCTCTTATGGAACCACCTTTTTTTTTTTTTTTTGTGAGATTGGTACAACAGCTCTTGCGTCTGTAGTAATATTGCCATGTTAATATTGCAATTCTAGTAAGTAATATAGCAGTTACTCTGTTCTCCAGAGTAGCTGACTTGCTGCTTTTAAAAATCATAAAGGCAAGTACTGAAGACTTGATCCTGGTTTTAAACTCAGGGCTGACTTATGTTCTTTAGTTGCTGTACTGAACTCGGGTTTTTTGTTTTGATTGAGGGAGGAGGGATGTTGTTTGAGGGTTTGAGTTTAGTATGGGGTTCTTTAGGAGTTTTTTGTTGGGTTTTCTTTTGGTTTGGTTTTCTTTTGGGGTTTTTAGGGGGGTTTATTAGCCTGTTCCTCTCATGTAATTTATTCTCCTTGGTGTATATAGAGACAAGTGCTCTTATGGTGAATTTCAGCTGTCCATATTCATGGTTTGCTTCACCTGTCAGATATTCAGCCAGTCCTTGTGTAGCATCAGGTCACCAGCAATACATTCACATGAAGTTTTCAGTCTTAAACAGTATAGTAGAATTCAGGAGGCAGTTTGAAAGCAAACTACTGTATGGATATGCCCCTTGGAAGCCTCTTCGACTAAACTATCAGATTGCTGTGACTTTCATTTGTACACCTAAAGTGAAAGAAAGACCATACAAGCTATCAAAGTGACTAACTTCGTAAAAATAGCAGCAGAACAACTTTGTAATTGGGACTGCTGCATAATTGCCTGGTTGCCGTCTGTCCAGCTTATATTGCATGCTGAAGGAGTTACAAAATTTGGGTAAATATTAAGGAGATATTTCTGATCAAAATTTTATCTGACCAGGGTAGAAGACCTCTGCCTAGACAAATAGCACTATAAATCACAGGCAAAGTACCAAGTGGCTTTTGCACATCTGCAACAAGAGCTGTCTATCACCTGTAGGGTGAGTCCTCTGAGTCCTAATTCATTATACCTGTGTATAATGAATTTCATTATTAACCTCTACAAATATCTAGTATTTTCTTGCCAACATTAGTGATTTCATTTGATTTGGCAGTTAGCACCGAGTTGAAAACTAAGAAAAGGAAAGAATTTGGCAGTTGTATGCCTTTTTAATGCCAGAAGGCTTGTTTCCCATTTCTTCATGTGTATTCCTTTTGACTGTGTTGAACTGGGTGGTGGTCTTTCTAGAGAATTACCTTGAAAATGAGACTGTGATATATTACAGAGAGCTTTCTATGCCCTGGTCCTGAAGAAATTTGCTTTCCTCGAACATCATCTTTAAGTCTAATTTTTATTTGATTAGATTATCTCATTAACCAAGGAATGTTGTAACACCTCTGCATCTTCAGCTGCTAATTATTTTTAACCTAGTGTAGCTACCAGGAAGAAAAGCTCAGCTTCCTAGTAGGAAATGTACAACACCCAAAAAGTGCCCAGAAAAATCTTATACAGGCAAAAGTGCTTGACTAATAGCTCTTCAGTTACCTTTCACTTTAAATGATGCATCTAGAATATATGTTTAACCTTCCCACCTTGATTCCTGTGGCTAAATTCGTTTACTTTGTGAGTTCAACTGTAATAACTCTGTACTGGTACACTTGCTGGCAGTACAGGTGTTTTATTCCTGTCCTCCTAAAGTATCATAAATCTGATAGTCCACTTTACCATGTTGACTTCTTGTTAATTTAGTGTGTGTTTTGGGGAAGGTGAGAGACACTGATCTCTATGCAGTAGTGGCGGTGTGATTCAAAAGAGAAAACTTCCCTTGAATTAAGCAGGTGAAAATGGTGTACCTGTGGGAAGCTTGTACTGAGGTAAGAGGTGAAGCAGTGAGGGTTCCCAATCATACCGTGTTTCCTGTGTTTGAAAAACTGGCTTTGCCTAAGGTCAGCTATGCCAAGTACAGATCAGTAGGAGCCAGTTACATGTGTGAATCTTGGAGTCAGTATGAGTACCAGCGCTCGGTAAGGGTGGAAGAAATGGGTTTATAGATGCTGTTTCTACCTAGACTGGAGCTCAAATTAGATGCCCGAGCTAATCCAACAGGCTTTTGTTGAAAAAGGCAGTTTTGTTTCATCCACTTAGCTTCTGGCAGTGTTCTCCTGCTGCTTAACTTGTGCTAGTTCTCAGCTTGCTAATCAAATTATTAGGTGGTATCAATCACCTAACCTTTTAAAAACGTGCCTGGGTAATCTCTTGTCTTGTTAGCGAGCAGGCACAACGATAGGGACAAGAAGCTGTTTCTGTGTTGGATCAGTTTGAGCTCTGAGGGACTTTGCAGAAAGCTTGGCTGAGTGTCAAATATGTACAATGTGGCCCTACAGTAGTCCAGTTCCTTATCTTGTAAGACTAGTTAAACTCTCCAAGCAGTTTAGTAACCTATGGTTGAATGAATCTAGATAGGTATCAAAGTTTGTTTGCATAAAAAGGGATTGTATAACTGTATTAAGATTGGTATCAGGGAAGGGAAAAAGCATGCTAATGTCGTCAATAGTCTAAGAACACAGATTTTTATAACTGCTAAGGATTAACTGCTCAGTAGAGGGAATTGATTGCTTTGCTTCCCTTTCCTGAAATAAGACTTTTAATGGTAAGTTTCAGAGTGATACTTAAAATAACCTTGTCTATTTCTTTGACTTCAAACAGCACTAGGATAGGAAAGCTACTAGACTTAAGGTATTTTTAGTATGGTGCTATTTTAAGTGCTAGTATAGTAATTAATGTTTAGTATGGTAATTAATGTTTATTCCTTTTTGAGCAGAAATTATTACTTGGGAGAAGAACATAGATTCTGAAACAGTAACTTCACTGTAGTGGAACATTGCCATACTAGTTTTTAGCGATGTTCTGCTTAATCTAGTCTTCTGTCACTTAGTATCATAAAGTGCAGGACTGAGTTTCATAGGTTCTGTTGCAGCTTGTCTCAAAAATGCCTTGGTTCACACATATGGTGAATCTTTTACTTTTGAGAGTCTGAGTTAACAGTAGTAGCTGATTTTGCAGCCCTAAGGAGTATGTGGAATTTCAGTTGTCATAAAACTGATATGGTTAATAGCTTGCTATTGAAAGGGACAGATTCTGATCCCATTCATGACTATGCATCTTTCCATTCTTGTCCTGCTGGTCTTGGCTGCTATCTTTCCTGGTCTTGTTTAACAAACTAAACAGTCAAGACTGGCTTTGTTGTTCAGCTTTTACTGCTGAGTAATTGAACATGATCAGTCTGGTGAAGGAGTTAAGCACCATGGGCCATGATCCCTACCACTGGCACAACTACACTAGGCACATCAGAGACCTCCACTTGGGCCAGGTTCCTGAGGGAGGCTGTGCCTCTCTGGATTGTGAGCTGCAGAGATGCCTGGGGGCACCCACTACGCAGAACAAGTGATGTCCCTGTTCCTAAAGCTGTATAGTTGTGGAAAACCTGTGTCACCAAGCAAAGGAGTAGTGAAAGGGGATCAGCAGACTTGCACAGCATCAGAAATAAAAAAAATTACAAGACTACAGATTCAAGAATCTGAAATGTCCAGGTATATTGACAGAGGGGCAGAAATAGTCTATGTAATCAGTTTGGGAGATGGATACTCTCACAATGGTGAAGGCTGGTGGCCTCTGACACCAGGAGAGAGATTTCTGCTCCTTGAGCAGATGTGCAATTGCCAAATAGGTTCAGTGCACTGAAAGAAGACACATGACTGGAAGCTCTTTATAGGCCTTTTATAACCCGAATGATTCTATGGTTTTATACAACTAAGCATCAGAACAGCACCTGGAGCAGCAGCAAGTGGTGAGACTGAGCAGATAGTGGAGAGATTGACTCCTGTAGGGAATAGAGGCTTCCACATGTAGTCTTGTGTTACGGAGGTTTGCTGCTTCTGGATACCTCTGATAGGCATGTGAGGGAAAGACTGCCAAGGTGTGTTTCACCTTTAAAACACTTAACCTTACAGCTCTTCTACTTGAACACTAATGGATATAGCAAGAGGGTGTCTGAAACTCATCAAGCAAGACTATATGGCCTTTGGAATCGAGGCCAAGGGCACAGAAAGCCAGGCAGATCTTCTCTATGATCCTCAACCCCCTTCTCACCATCAAGAGGAATAAATGGATACTGCCTGTCGACACCTAGGTGGTTGTATAGCTCATGCTGATAGCGGAGCTTTGGCTCTTAAGGCCTTGAGCTCCTTTGTAGAGCGAGGACTACCAGGAGGAGATAGCATCCACCTATCCAAGTCAGGGCAAAAGTAAAAATTATAGTAAAAGATGACTACACGCAGTCAAGTAAGGAATTAGTGAACTTGCAAACAAAGTGTATAGGCTGATTTGAACAAGACACTTAGTTATTTACAGATCAGATCTGAAGGCAAATCATCCCAGCACTCCAACAAGGAAGTATGAACACAACTTGATAGGGGAAGCTCTTGCTTTTTCTGGGGATCTGCAGGATTGGATGCTTCTCTGAAGTCCCTTTATACATATGCATACGTTATTGGGAGTAAAAGGGAGGAGGTAGAGTTTGGCATGCAATTGTAGGGCAACAATTTTATTGTGGTATAAACACACAACTAGAGTGCTGTAATGCATCTATGTGGATGGCCTTGGAAGACAATCTGGAGTAGCAAGGAATGGGAGTTGCATTTTGTGAAAGAGCAGTTGAATTGCATGGAGTTCTGCCTTCGTCAGATGAGCCTGTTGAGAGCTTATGGGTTAAGAATCAAGGGCAGATGAATAGGGGTGATATTATAATGGGCATTTGCTACAGACCCCCTAAGCAGGAAGAAGAGGATGAGACCTTCAGACAACTGCAAAATGCTTTATATTTGCAATGCTGATTCTTATGAGAAACTTCAGTTACTTCACATTGTGGTAGAAGCAGCATCACAGCAGGACACAGGCAGTCCAGGAGGTTTCTGGAATGAATTGGTGACCTCTTGCTAACACAGATGATCAAGGAGCTGATACAGGGAGGTATAATGCTGGACTTCCACTTAGAAAAAAGAAAAAGGGAGAATTGTTTAGGGCGTTATGACTAGAGGCAGTGACTATGGGATAGTGGCATTCAGGATTGTGAGCAGGAACACGGCAAAAACAGGATCACAACCCTGGACTAGTTAACCCTATTATGAGCAGAGAGAGTTATGCTAGAGGATTCTATCAGTGACCTTTATCAAGCACAAGCGGCTGCACAGGTTAAAAGTGTATGTGCCTGTTCTCTGCTTGTCTTCCTGCAGTTCACCTCTGCTGTTTGTAGTGTTCTTGTACTGCTTGGAGAGGTCTGCTTGGAGACTTTATCCATTTAGTTTTAATCCATCAGAGGATGCAGCTAAACGTGCAAGTGTGCAATACAGCTGAGGTAATAAAAGAGCTTTGTTCCTCCAAAAGGACAATGCCCCTTCCTCTGATCCTCAGCCTCTCCTGCTCACCCTGTACTGATTGTGGCAGATCCACTGCAAAAGCTGACTCAGTACATAAAGCTGGCAGAAAGCTAACCTAGCAAAAAGCTGTGTTCTCTGTTGGGCTAATGAGTTGAATTAGCTGTAATGGGGGCTAGGTTAATAGTCCCTCTGCTCTTTCCCATGCTGTTCTAGCTTTTCATATACCCTCTCTGTAAGTGGGGTGCTGCCTTAAGGGCATAATTTGTGGTTACTTTAATACAGCAAGAGCGAAGCAATACTAGCCAGGAGCCTGTCCAGAATGGAGGTCTGTAGTTTTTGGGTCTGTGCCCTGTCACAAGAACAACTGTGTATATAGAGTAAACTGGCTGACTTTTTTCTCTTCTTTTTTCCCCTTTAGATGAGAAGCATCTCATCTGAAGAGAAGAAGGGAATGTCCTCAGTACAACATCTTTAATCTAACTTGATACTTGTTTTGAGGATAAAGCTTTAACCTTCTTAGCTGTAGAAGGAATTTCTGATAATTTTTCTTACCTTTTCCACCTAGCATTACTAAGGAGCAAAGCTTTTCATAGTTGCTGTTTGATTTGGGTAATAATTTGGGATCTTAGGCAGATAAAACCAAATGCATTTAGCAGAGCTTTGATAAAAGCTTGGTGTAGTAATGCCTATTATTATAGCTCTATACAGTAGGTAGAGCTTCTGATTTTGGCTGTTAAGACCTGTATTCTTCAATTTTACAATAGCCTGCTTAGAATAATTAACCGAGCAGTGAAATGTGACAGTGAAGAAACAGGATAATTCTTGGCAGTGTTCCTTTTAATTTTGTCCTAGTGTCCCTGTATTGTTGTCCTCTCTAGTTTGAGGAGAGGACAGGTGTGGCAAGGAATGGAATCTTCTGCATCCAGGCTTTAGAGACCAGTGTTGGAGGGGTTTGGTCTTTTGCCATCCCAATATGTCTGCAGGCATAAACTGTGTGTACAGAAAATTGCTGTACTATCACGTAGACCTGGTAAGATTGACTTCAGAATCAGATAAAATAGCATTTAATGTAGCAATAATGTTCCTTTCAAAGACAAGCAAATCTGCATCTATAAAAGGAAAGATAAATGTCTCACTATACAGGTAGTGTTTTTTCCTTGGATAGTCGGCGTCGAGGAAGCCTTGCTAGTCCGGGTAGACAAGTCTAACAATTCAAATACTGTCTGTACTAAAGAACTGAAGTGGCTTAATCCTATGTGCATGTTATAATCCATTTAGAGTGTGTGCTATTAGTCAAGTTCCTCATGATGAAATAATGCTTGTTGCTGAACATACAGCATTCTTTAAGTGTATTTTCTAGGAAGCATATTCAGAAAAACAGAATTAGCGGACTAGTACAAAAAAAAAAGCAGATGTTGTCTGTATCCATGTCATTTAGAAGAGAATAAACAGCTATAGATAAGGTACAGTTCCTTAATGTAATATTATCTCTGACCGGTTTTCTTTATGAATGTGGTGAAATACTTGTTAATCCTTAACTGCTAAGCCATACAGTTTGGCAGATATTTGTAACAGTTACTCTCAAGGAGAGACAAAACAATCCTTCCCTTCTGCAGAAAACTGTTAATGTTTAAAACTGAGCACAGAAAACAAAAATGGAGAAAACAAGTCAATGGCAGCATATGTCCTGGTAAGAATGCCTGTTCACATGTGGCAGAAGCAGAGGACAAAGCTGCTGGGGGGGGAAAAGAGGACTATTTTGTTAATCTTGTCTAGGGAAAACCAGAAGATGGTGGTGACAGGAAGCAGTGGAAATCATTGAGAACTGAGACAAAAAGTGCAGACCTCTGATCCAGGGAGGAAGATTATCACACTTGCTCCAGAGCCCAACCCACAAAGCTACTGCTTACCTGATGGTGACTTAATTAGAAGGAGAAAAATTCTCAGTCCAGTTTCTCCAGGGTCTATCACAGCAAGTGAATATAGCCATGCTTATTATTCTGTTCTGTATATGCTGGTTACGCAGTCACAGAGAAGCTTTAGGGAGAGATTCAAATGTTGATATTTCTTTGGTGCTATGGGCAAGATGGAATTATCAACGTGAGGACTAGTATTTCAGAATATCTGAGTTATGTCTCAGTACTTCTTGAGTCAAGTAATAAGGGTTCCATGGATGTCTATGTTGCACTGCTTTGAAGTTTATTTAAAGCTTTTTCCAAATGCCTGTTTATGTGAGCTATATATGCAGAGCTGTTTTTGTAAACCTGTCTTGCAGTTATTCCAAGGTATTATACATAGATGAGCTTCTCAAAGTTCAGAGCAGAATTGTCTCAGGATATTGTCTGTGGATAGGGGATGACTTTATTTCATACTGAACGTGACTAGATGCTGAATAGATATTTGTACATGAAAGCTAGCAAGTTATTGAAGAAAGTGGACATCACTAATGTATAACATAAGGTTAACTTCTATGGAAATTCACTCTGTCATGTAGATGTCATCCATCAAATATCTGGATTGAACAGAACAATTTGTTTTAATATTAAACTTGGTCATATTGATGTTGTCTTTCATTCCTATGAAACAGGGTGACTGCCTGGCTCCAACAAAGTATATTTTACTAAAGCAGACCAAATCCTATTTGTAGGTAGATTTCTTGGGGAGAAGATAAATATCTGGATTCTTGGAAAGTTCTATTCAGATATTTGTTTAGAGTTATTTAGTAAGTATATGAAATGCCACTTTCCTGTTTTACAAATTTACAGTAGCAAGTGAAGAATAATACTATAGGAGAAAGACCTAAAAATTGAGAGAAATAGATATCCTACAAATACCCATACTTTCAACTAATAATGAATCCTAATTTAAACTTTTTAATCTTAAAATTAACATGCCTTACAAACTAGGTGATCTGTACAGGCTACCAACATGGTCAGGATTCCTTACTAATTAAATTGTGAAAACTAAATATAGTCACCTGTAAATATGTGCTTTACATAGTCATGTGAAGTGTTTAAAACTGAAACTGCTGCTAATTGATGTTTATTCAATGAGCAAACAAGCCATGCACTGATACATTTTCCACTTTTGTGTCATCATACTTACCAGTTTTTTTAATCGGGTCTCAAATCAGCTATAGTTGTTAAGACAAACTGTTGTGCCTAATAACGAACTCTGTTATTTTTATAAATGCCAATATTATTTTTATTGTAGGTAAGCAAGTGAGAACCAAACTGTCACAGGCCTTTAATCACTGGCTGAATGTTCCAGAAGATAAAATACAGGTACTGGCTAATTACTTTTAAAAGGTTGTTATCTTTCTTCCAAGACCATTGGTAACAGATGATTCTCCTACATAGCATAAATTACCAGAAATGTTAAAAGCACTAATTTCTAGATATAGCATGAATTTTCATGAAAACCACTTCATGCGAAGCTTTTACTATGGTGCAACACTAAAGAAACTACTTCCATGTCTTACTAGAATAGTTACTTCTTTCCATGTGTGTTCAACCTTTGCAGTTGTAACAAAACTCAGTTATTAATACTGAGTTTTTAATGACTTAAAAAAGAAGCTAGACAGTTACCTTGTAGACATCACAAATACAGTGTTTGAAAATAAAATCTGGAGATTTTGATACAAGAATATTGAAGACAGCAATTAAATCAACTTTACAAACCTAAAACTGAGAGGAGTGTATCATATAGTCTATATATAGTCTACATTACTTTCTAATGAGAAGTATTATCTAGGAATTCTCATTCCCTTTTCTCTTGGACAAAGTGTGCAAGATGCATGGCTGTGTATTTATACATTGTGGCTTTTCAAATGAAAGATTATCCTCTTTTTTAGGCTAGACTGTAGTTTTGCCAAACTGCATAGAGAGCGTGCAAAATATTTTCTGTCCAAGGCAATGTAAGGAATTAATATAATTGGTTGTGGCTTTTGACACCCAGCTGGTCCTTTGTTAATTGCATTAATTTTTGGCAGAAGTATCTTCTAGAGTTTGTGAAGGAGTCATTTTTAGGGTGGCTTAGGAGTGACACTTCATAGCTCTCAAGCAGCAAAGTGATTTAAGTGGTTTAAGAGGCTGCATTTCATAATCTAGGAGCTCCTCTGTTTTTCAGCCTGTATGTGTGACTGTCTAGCAAAATTTATTCTTTTAGCTAGACACATCTTACCCTTTGTGCTCAGACAAACATCCAAATAAAACATATAATATAGCAACCTGTGTATTGTATGTATGAGTTTAGTCTAATACCACAGATCCGAATTCAGATTGGAAGAAACCTCTGAAAGTTATCTAGGACAACCCTGTACTTAAAGCAGAGCCTTCTCTGTAGCTGCTTTAGGCTTCTGGGACCCCTGTTGAGTTTTGAAAATCTGGTAATGTGGTTCCTGCAGCTTCCCAGGGTCTGTCTTCTCATGCTGAGCCCCTTTAATTATAGCAAACTGTTCCATTCTATTCAACTAGGATTTTTTAATGTTGCCATCTCACTATTGCCTCCTGCCCTTTTGCTGGGCACCCATGACCATGTGGTCCATTTTTGCTTAGTGCTATGGTAAACTAAATCTGCAGTCCCTCTGTGTGAACAGAAGTTACCAGTTCTGTCACTTTAAACTGATGAATCACATAACTGCTATTGAAAACTTGGACCACTTATTTTGATTATCTTTATGAAGAAAACCAATGCTTTAATATCTCCTCTACTACTTAAGTTGTTTGTAATGGCAGGAAAAAACAAGACCCTGTCATCTTTTAGTCTTCTTTGCAATCCAATTATTACAGCTTTTTCTGCCTTTTTGTACTAATTTTAATAACTAAAGATGGTTAAAGTCTGAAGGACCACCTCTGGTCATCTTTTTTACATCTCTCATAATCTTCATAAGATATCCTCTGTGTCTAACAGCCTGATTAATTTCCAGGTATTTGTATTTCTTTTATTAAAAATCTGAATTCTGGCACTCATTCCGGGACTTTTTTCTTACCTTAGATTGTTCATCTTTGTGTAATTTATTTAGATGATACAATTGAGGCTTCTGTTCCTTGGTAGTTTATTTTACTGTTAACTGCCACTGTTTCACTTTTTGCCCCAATCAAGTGACCTCTTCCCCCAACACTTACTGAATTTCTAATTCATATTTGGAGCTGCACTGAGACACTTCAGTTTGTTGAATTAGAGAACACTGGGTTTGTCAGGTGAACACTGGTTTTGTCACTTTTTTCTGAGAAGGCACTGAAATGGCCTAGCAAGAGTCAAACAAATTTTAAAGCTATTGCAGATAAGGAGGTGGAAGAAACCCGTGTGTTGGACTAATAGTACAGCAAACACTGATTAGATAGATGCAGGTTGTAAGAAAACATAGCATTCTGTACTGGGTCTCCAGCTTTCATCATGGAGACCAGTCTTTTCATTTTCTGAGGCTACTTCCTGATGTATTCTAAAATAAGCTTTTTCTGATATCTGAACTGTTTCACTCCTTTCCTTCACCTTTGAATCACTTTTGACACTGTCTTAATTTCAAAAGATAATTCAGTAGAAACACAGTGTCAGGAAACAACGTTTCCTTTAAATCGTATGTATGGAAGCTGCAAGAGGTCATGAAACTGATAGAGGTATGATATAGGTTAGCAAGAGAAATGCTAGAATAGTCTTATCCAATGAATTTACAGAACACAGGGAAATGTTCCTGATAGTACTGAGACCGAGATAATGGATCAAAAGTCTATTCAAACAAATAGGTGTGTAAAGTTGCCTTCAGTAAGTACTCTATCCTTTGATTTCATGAGTGTTTAAGTAGGTTGCTCTTGCAATCATATCTTGGGAAAGATATGATTTGCTGGGTTTGAGTTTTAATCTTTGGGACAATGTTCACTGAACACCAGGTGGCTTGGTGCTCAAGAAAATGCTTACAGCGAAGTCCTCATTTTGTCCTACAGCACCCACAGAATAGGACCATACTAGATATTTGCTGCCTTTTTATGGTGGTCTTAGTTTTTTTTTAACAATTGTTTTGATGAAGGTTGACTGAATGCAATGTTTGTAGCTAACGAGTGTAATTAGTTCATTAGCTTTAAAATGATATCTTAATCAGATTTGTTTTGCAGTGAGTTTATACAGTATGCAGTTTTATGTGCTTAAATTTATTTCCATTTAAACAGGTGCTGAGTATACCTGTTGCTTGCATGGCAGCTGTGGAATAAAAGCAGTGTATAGTGTTAAGATTCTTCATTTTTTTGCTGAGGTGTTAAGGTTGCGTTCTACTCAAATGTGGTCAACTACAAGCCTGATGTTGTGAACAGTTTATTGCACGCCTCAGGTGGTGTGTGTGGTATTGGTCTACCTATTAACAAGCAGTGTGTAGGAAGCTACTCAAAAGAAATTGTGTCTGATGTCTTCCTGCCAAGAATTTTCCAATGATGTTTCAGAGGGAATAGTCTGTCCTTTAAGAACCCAGTACTGAATATAAACACACAAACTGTGGGAAAAGAAAGATGAACTCTCCACTTAATAAAACACAGTTCACAAGAGAAATGTGATAATGGATGGTACCTGACACTCTCAGGAACTGACTTTGGGAGATTTCAGGTTTGTAAATCTAAACATTTCAAAACACTGTTTATTTTATTTTCCCCTAGTCATGTTTCTAATAACAGTTCTCTATGACTCTTAGACAATGGCCTATTTTAGAACTGCAGCAACAATGGAGTATGCAAGTGGAAGCACTTCAGGGAGTAAGTTACCTTTGAATCTGAAAACATACACGTAAGACTATGTGATCCAGGACTTAGAGCAAACTGGATGGTGAAGAGACTCATAAATCCATACTAACAGTAAAGGCAAATTGTCTAAAGAGGAACCTCAGTGATAGAGAATATAGTTATTTAAAACATCCATTTTAAATATAGTCTTGTAAAACTTGCAGTTAAATTACTGACAGGCTTAACAATTTTCTCTTCTTGTAATAGGTTATCATTGAAGTGACAGAGATGTTGCACAATGCAAGCTTACTTGTGGATGATATTGAAGATAACTCAAAGCTACGACGGGGCTTTCCAGTGGCACACAGTATCTATGGAATTCCATCTGTAATCAACTGTGCTAATTATGTTTATTTTCTTGGCTTAGAGAAGGTTTTAACCCTTGATCACCCAGATGCTGTTAAAGTTTTTACCCGTCAACTTCTGGAACTCCATAAAGGTCAAGGCTTGGATATTTACTGGAGGGATACTTACACCTGTCCTACAGAGGCTGAGTATAAAGCGATGGTACTGCAAAAGACAGGCGGTCTCTTTGGATTAGCTGTAGGCCTCATGCAGCTGTTCTCAAATTATAAAAAAGACTTAAAGCCACTTCTTAACACTCTTGGGCTCTTCTTCCAAATAAGAGATGACTATGCCAACTTGCACTCCAAAGAATATAGTGAGAACAAGAGTTTTTGTGAAGACTTAACTGAAGGCAAGTTCTCATTCCCAACCATTCATGCAATTTGGTCAAGACCTGAAAGTACTCAGGTGCAAAACATTTTACGTCAAAGGACGGAGAACATAGATATAAAAAAATACTGTGTACATTACCTTGAAAATGTTGGCTCCTTTGAGTACACTCGGAATACATTGAAAGAGCTTGAATCTGAAGCCTATAAACAAATTGAATCGCTTGGAGGAAACCCTGAGCTTGTAGCACTAGTTCAACAGCTGAGCAAAATGTTCCAAGAAACTGAAAATTAAGGTATTAACTTCTGGGTGTGGATTAAAGCTCTTTTGAAAATGGGAAAATAACCAGATGGAGAGGTGTGATAATCAGTCTTATGTAAAATTTTCTCTTGTAGCTGTGTTTCAGAAATTACTGTTAAAAATAACTTGTCATTGAGTTTTGAAATATATACGTTATTCTCTCTAAAGTCTTAACTGTAATTGCTTTACAATTGGTTTTGTTAAAGAAGATGTACTAGAACTAAACAAGTTTTGAGTCTAAATGTAATAGTTTTGACACAGTCATGGGCTTTATTTCACACCTAAATCTCTCCTGCCCCTAACCAGGCTATGATAGGATTCTGGTTGAAATTCTGTGTTAAATTAAATCAGGTTCACATATGTGTATTATGCATTTTAAACAATGCTCTCGTAAACCAAAATTTGTGTTAAAAAAAAAGAAGTTTTCCGAGTTTGACTTGTGACGATCAGGTAGATCACTTTACTGTGTCCTAGAGTGAATATCCTATCCAGCTTCTGTGGATATTTTCAGGGGAATGTGAATTATGAAAGCTACTATTTTGTATGCAAATAAGACATGCTCAGTCTGAAATTGTGACTTCATAAAGATTTTGAAGTACCTTAGAGAAAAGATTTCATCACATCAGCAAAGTGTAAATTTGCTGCTGATTCCAGCTCTGCAGTGAATAATTTTGCTCACCTGGTTTTAGATTTTGAAATTGTCAAACATGCTGTAGCCAGAAACTTAAATCTATGCATTAGACCTCATATATGTAACTGTAAATAGCAACTTAATGAGCTGCTATTAGAAATGGAAAGGAATTCACACCAGGTAACTTTAGGACACCATAATTGGTGCAGATCTTTTTAATCTCTGATTATAATTGAGGGGCTTCTCCAAGACTTTATTCATAATTCATATTTCATTCCTGTTCTGAATTGCTCTCTGGAGGCATGTTCTGTATCTCTCCAAAGAGACAAGAGCTGTAATTTTTTTGTTAAAACAAAGGATGGTATCTTGTTTTATGAGCTACAATACCACTTCAGTTTTGTTAATTGCTTGAATAGAGCTTTAAAGTTATAGACATACCAAAATAGAACTGGAACTGAGAGCAAGATTTAAGGGTGGGGGTAAGTATAAATACATATATAAATAAATATATAGAGAAATGTTCATAAAATGTAAGCAGAGATGTTTGGTTTCTTCTTGCCTGGGCTGGCTTTAACCAGGTTCAGTTTCCTTAGTATTCACAGGTATATTAAGCTTTGCTTTGAGCTAACAAGGTAATGATTTGGATGAAAGGTAGAACTGGTGCTATAAGCTGTGATGCTAGCTCAAGCATACTCTGAAATGGACAGAGGTAGTTGACTTCTGATGGCTAAAACATAGTTTTATGCAGGTGTTCATTTACTGTACCTGGAAAACAGGGAGACCTATATCTCAGCCCCCTCAGAAAACTAACTGAAGGAGGCTGCTGTAATGCCTTTCCTGGGCAGCCTTAATATCTTTCTGAACATGATCAAACATGACAAAATTGAGGATGACTGCTTTCAGTCTGAAATATTATGTAGTTATGGATGATAGCCTGTCCCTTTTATCTGCATGCTGAGGAGAAATCTTTGTCTGATTAGACACAGAATAATAGGCTTTTCACTGAATGGACCTGGTTACTGGACCTGAATAGCTTAAAGTTGGTGAAAGGTGTCTTTAATGGTAATGAAAGAGAATTACAATTCCTTTTTCATAACTTGCAGTGCTTAGTAAGCCTGTAAATTTTTAATGTGTTATGTGAAAATACTCTCTGCAGCAAATTGCATTTATTTTGTGCCATGTCTTGGGAGTTTCTAAGCACTGTTGCAGTTAATGTTGAATAGGAAAAGCACTGAAAAGATTATTGTTGTCCTGAGAGTCTCCTAGTCTTACTGTGAAATGTATCTTTGTGCCTGTTAGGATATTGTAACTGCAACACAATGCAAAGTGCACTTAGTGCCATTTAATTTCTGTTCTGTTGCTGGATGTAAACAGTTCTCTGTAATCAAACTTTCATAATGAAGTAGCTTTTCTTACTTTTTGTATAAAGCTTTTCTACCATCTGAGATTTCTGCTATGTCATTGCTCCTTTGTTTCATTCTGGCAATTCACCCCAGTATTTATTCTAATTCTGTATTTTGCAGCATGTGCCTTCATTATGAGTAGGCACATGGATATTTTCCAGTTGTAGACCATTTAAACCACAAATGGGTAAGAAGGAAAAAGTTGGTCTAGCTTTCGTTTCCCAGGTTACAAGAGGCCATGCAATTCTGTCTTACACTTCTGCCTTCAAGGTATTTGATGCCAGTATTCAAAGCATATGCTGAAGGTGTATCTGAAAAGGCCCACAAGTAGAACACTGTTGCTCTTCACTTTGGTTAGGATAAATAGGATTGTGAGAGCTTTCCTTGAAGTATTCAGGAGTCGCAAGAGGCTGGAATATTTCCCCTTCATATGTTAAGTTGGTAAAGCACTTTAAATACTAAATGCCAGTCATAACGATGTCCTTTATTGAAGGTAGATTTTATATTTAGTGCCATAAGATCAGTCTGTGTATTTTCATCAGTATTCTCCAACGTTATCACTGGTACTGGCTCCTGATGTTAAGCAATGTTAGGAAAAACCCTTCTTTAAAGCAGCATGGGAGTTCTTGTGACTGCAGAATTAGTTGTGTAAGTGTCCCTCTCTGTTACATGCCTCCCATAACACAGGGAGTAGTGATTTTTCCTGATCTTCATAAAATATGCAGTGTTGTAGAATGGCAATCTGAGTTGCAAGTGGAGATGCCCACAGGGAAACAAAGGGGATGCTGGTTTCAATGTCAGTCCCTCTGAGCTAGAATCATTCCCCTTCCTACCATTGCCAACAAGTTCTACTTTGATCAGGTTATCAGTGCATTTCTTGGGGATTTAGTTCTTGCAGTTCACATTAAGAGAAATGCAAATACTTATCAGTCTGGAGCATTCCCCGCTACCTCAGTCTGTTTTCTGATTGTGTGCTTGCTTGGATGTAAATGAGTGCTGCCACCTGTCTTAGAGTAGCCAGCCATTGGATGGGACATCTGTCTTTGCTTTTTCATAGGCTTATGTTTACCCCATCAATTACGATGAAAATTGCATCATTTCAAGACCTTCCTTAGGAGATGGCTCTCTCCTCTCCTTGTGAGCTCAGGCCATTCAGGTACCCACTCAGAGCAACTTTCTATGTATCAGCCAGTTGTTGATACAACACAGAAATGTTGAAACTGTTAACATTTCTTCATGCTTCTGCTTTTTTGTTAATTTTGCTAATCTGGCTGCATGTGCTATGGAAATTTCCTATATTAGTGACTGTTTTCCTCAATTATTGTTAAAATGCTAACAAGGTATAAAAACGTGGGGTTTGTGAGGGAGTTTGCACCTCTCATATAGAACTGGTTTGAATTTTAATATGCCTTTATCACTGAATTGGGCCAGGCTTTTATTCATGTGCAAGAGCCATACGGGCATTTGCTGCTCTTCTTTGTCCCATCTTAATCATTTTACATTTCAGGTTTGGTATTTGCTATGTTCTTTGTATTATTTGCTCAGTACTTTCACTGTAATTCTTCTTTCAGCTATATTTCTATTCTGCTGTTAATACCAAGCACACATAATACCATCAAACTTGGTTTTGATCCTGGACAAACATAATAGTCTGAGTCTTCTTTTGAAATGTTGAATCTTGGCTCATCATTCACCTTCACAAAAGTAATCCAAGATTAATCCAAGATTTTCTGCAACCTTGAAATTCCTGAATTTTTTTTTTCCAGCAAGCTAAAGCCTGTAACATTTCATATGACCATAAATTATTTTTGTCTCATGTAGCTTGAGGTACTTTTCTTGCCCTACCTGTTTGCTTTCAAGATCCATTTTGCTTTGGTGGTAATGCCTGTTAGGTCTTTTTATGAATGAACTTAACTCACTAGCCCTGAGGGAGAAAAGTTAATTTTTGTCCAGGTTAATGAATTCTCCCACTCAGCAAGAGGCTTATGAACGTCAGAGCTGGCAGGTGGACAAAGGCCAGAGAAAGGATTTGAGAGAAGAAAACTCATTTTTGCCTCCTGAGGCTGCCTCATGTAATTTCACCTTGTTTTACAGAATTTGACTTTGTTAGGAAAAGATAAAGTGTGTGGTTAGTTTCTCTGAGCTTCCCTTCTTGCTTTCCAAATAGACTGTGAGAGATACTTAAGTTAAAAATTATTTATGTAACTTGCATATATAATCTAAAGATTTTGATTAAAGGTACAGATAAAACAGAGTACATTGTTTCATTACTCTTCTTTTTCTTAACAGTCGGAGTCTTCTTAGAGTTGCCAAGAACAATCTGCCATGTGCCTATTTGAGTGAATTACTACCTCACATTAACATCCTTCCTGAATACATTTTATCATAGCTGAACCTCATTGTTCAACCTTTTCTGCAGCACTTATTTTAAAATTACTCCAGAGGCACCTTGTTGAGGTGTGGCTAGGAATAATCCATGATTGACTCACTTCAAGCATAAACTTCTAATAAAATTTAAACTTTATTAGAAAAAAGTGCAAAACTTCTAATAAATGCAGGTTAAACTACATTAACCCTGATAGTGTTCCTCACCTGTGTACCCTGTGGAACAACTAAGTTCTCAGTTAACCTACTGAAAAGGTATTTACTGATCATCTGTGTTTAGTACAGCATAGAGAACCATGGGAGATAGACCAAGAAGGCCTAAAGTGACACTTCCAGGGGAAGCACTACAAAACCTGACATGAATTTGTGTAGAAGACTTATCTTTTAGGTGAAGGGAAATCATATATAATTTTCTGGTTTTGAATTCCAGGAAAATTCTCTACTCATTGGTATACAAATTACATGCTGACAGTTAAGCAGCTGCATCATCTCTTGAACACAGTAGATCATTTTCACTTTCTTCAGAATGTTTCAGTTGCTATTTCTAGAGCATATAGTGTGAGCTACTTAATCACTCTGTAATTACTGAGGTCTGTAAAATGGTAAATGCATGCATTTTGTTTATGTATTTTGAAATACATAAAATCTCTCCTATTCTCTTTGAATCTGTGTTACTCCACAATGAACTTCTGTTGGCTGAGGGAGGCATAACCTTTCACTGACTGAAGTTATTAAAACCAGGCTGACGCCAAGCATATGTGAACAGATTGGAGGTGGGGGGAAACCCCCAAAGCTCTTTAGAAGTAAAATTTCCTATAATTGCAGAGTTAGTATATGAAGCATGGAAGTAAGTGAAACAGTTTTTCTGTGGTTTTGACTGAAAAACCTGTAGTTAATTGCTTTCTTTTTAGGATGGGATGGAATGTACAGGTGAAAATAAAAGGCTTTGGAAAGTAAAAGACAGAGGAATTGTCATTGCTATTGACAGAAATGTAAAAATTGTGCTATAAACCGAATCTCTTACCTTTTACACCAACCAGCATGAATGTTCAATAAATTCAGAAGCTAAATCCATTTTTACTTAAGGCTTATAAAATGCTGAAGTTGTAATTTGAGGTAATGAGGTGAAAATGTTAAATTTGTCTAGTCACATTGGCAATGGGACTGTCCTGTTCCTTGTTAAGTACAGATAATGAACTATGGCTATTTGTTGATTACAACCCTGAAACAAGAAGTGCAAAGAAATAGAAAGAATAAGCAGTAAGTTATGCTATTCTCATTATCATCTTAGAAATACGAAATACATAAATTTGACAACGTGCATGTAGATTCTGAGAATGGCTGGATTACCCATCAAACTAGGGATAAAATGGGCAGCTGGGGTCAGAGAGATAACAAAAAGTATTTTCTTGTTTTCAGCACCTTTTCTATCAGGCAGTGCACGGAGTGGAGGATGCTTTCAGCTTTGACCTTGGGAACAGTGGAGGAGAGGAACAGTGGAGAGCAAGAGGGATTACTGCTATCACTTGTACCACTATTCACGTAGCTTCAGCTACATGGCTTGAGACTGGAACAGATTGTTCCAAGAGTGCCCTCTGTGGGAGATGAGTGGGCTTAGGAACCCAGATGAGACGGCACCACCACCAAAATGTGGAAGAAGGACTAGGGTATCTATTCTTTTCCCCCAGTTCTAACACATTACCTATGGCAAAGGAGGACTATGAAATAAAGACACAGAGTTCTTTGCTGGATTGTCCCCTTGGGGAGCAGATGCTTTATACAAGACAGTAAATACTCCCTCAAAGCTTGTTACTTGAAAATGCAAGCTATCAGTGTGCTAAAGAATATACACATTATCCATATTATTTTGATTGGAATGTACTAGTGTTACCAAATACCCATACCTGATTTCTGTGGTCACTATGGTGGACTCAGAGTAGAGTACAAATATGCTGCCTGCCAAAAGAACAGATAGATTTAATGTAATGGAGCCATAGGACTGAAAGAGCTGCTTATTGTTTACTGCCATGATTGTTCCAGTCTTGGTGGTGCCAACATTCAGATGATATTGTTTGCATTAAACTGTTGTGAGACATTGAACAATGAAACATAAAAGATTTTTTAAAGTGTGAAAAACATCGATGAGGATGCTTTGGTTTTTATAACCACAGCTATTAGATCTTGCCATACCTATCTCTGTCAAACTGAAGAACTCTTACTCAGTTTCTGCTCCTCACCAACTTGTACTCGAACATAGTCACGTCTTTCATTTTCTTCTGTTAATCTACACACAGTGGACACTTCGATTTTTTTTTTTCCCCGCTAATTATTACAGGTCTTCCCTGGATTCCCTAGGGGCTATTTGCCCCAAATACTGAATGTTGAAATAACTACAGCAACAAATGTAGCAGCGTACAGTGGAATCCAACTCTCTGGGAGTTCCGCTGGCTCTACTGCTCAGCGAATCGCTCACGTTCTCCTCAGCCGCTGCTCCCGGGAAAGCGCCTCAGCCTTGAGTTACGGACTCCTCTCTCGCTCGGTATCTGTTCACCGGTGCTGCAGCGCTTTTCCCACCGCGTGCAGCTTTACAACACGGCAGCGCTTTCCTGCAGCATCTTTCCTCTCTCCTCACAGTCCGCCGCAAATCTGCGGCTACTCCCAGAGCGGCGCAATTCCCGGGGACGGGCGGGACACTCCGGCACCGCCCCGCAGGCCGGCTCGCCCAATCAGAGCGCCCGCCTCTCGCTCCGCGGCATTCTGGGAGCTGTAGTCCGGGGCCGGAAAACCCGCTCGGCGGGGCCACCTCGATGAACGGCATTGCCCAGAAAGCTCCACGGCGGCGACGCCCCGGGCCGCTTTGCCCCTGAAGGCGGTGACTTGAGCAGGGTAGAAGGCGGTGTGGACCAATAGCGGGCCAGGGCAGGGCTGCCCCGGGGCCCGCGGCCAACCCAAGGGCTCCCGGGCCCTGGCGGGGCGGGGCGGTGGGTGCCGCGCGGCGCATGGCGGAAGTGCGGCAGCGGAGCGTCCCCGCCCGTGTGTGAGCTGCGCCCCAGGGCCCCGCGCCTGTGGGGGCTGGGGCTGCTCTGCGAGCGGGGGCGGCTCGGCGTGTGGGAGCGGCGGGGGTAGCGCCGGGACACAAAAGAGCAGCTCAAGGCAGGGGCGTTGTGAGAGCAGCGGCTTGCGCGTGTGTTAAGGGCGTCTCTTCTGTACCTGCAGGTGTGGGAGCAGCCCGGACTCCTGCTGTTCCGGGATGGATGCTGGTGTGCCGCCCGATGCGCTGGGTCGGCGGGTCTCCTGTGGCACCGACTATGGGACTGTGCGCTATGTGGGCAGTGTGTCTCGTACTGCAGGTAAGCCCCACAAAAGTAATAATCTTCACGTTTTATGGCTGTTTTCCAGGTTCTGCTCGTATTCTTAATTAAAAAAAACCAACAAAACAAAACAACAAAAAAGCAAAACAACATTGTCAAGCAGAACGAGGCAATTTACAATTTGATTTTTCCTCGCTGTTCTTGTGTAAATATGGCGACTTCTAATCTGTGTGAGTTGTTGGGGTGTTTTTAAAGAAGTCGGAGTTGTCAAAAGGAGTATAAGAACAACTTTACAGTCTTTCCCTGATCTCTGTGCTGGTATAATCAGGGAAGGTAAGAGGCAGCAGCAGTAGATCACCAGAGCAGATGGTCCTTTGATAACATTATATTGGGTTTGTTTGACAAGGTTCTGATAGTGGCAGGGGCTATAGGTGTGGCATCTGTGAGAAGCTGCCAGAAGCTTTCTCCGTGTCCAACAGAGCCGATGCCAGCCGGCTCCGGGGCAGACCTGATACTGGAAAAGGCTGAGCCTGTCAGCAATGGTAGTTGCACCTCGGTGAAACCATCTTTAAGAAGGGGAAGGAAAGGAGACTCTTTGCACAAAAGTAGCTGTGGCCAGAAAAGAGCTGAGTGAGAATATGTGAGATGAACAGCCCTGTAGACACAAAGGTCAGTGAAGAAGGAGGGGAAAGAGGTGCTCCACACTCCAGAGAAGAGATTCCCCTGCAGACTTATGTAGGCAGGCTGTTTACTGGCAGCCCATGGGGGTCAGCAGGGGTTCAGAGATCCACCTGCTGCCCATGGAGAAGACACCCACAGGTGGATGCCTGAAAGGAAGTGGTGACCCTGGGGGAAGCCCACACCAGAGCAGGCTCCTGGTAGACTTAAGAACCTGTGGAGAGAAGAGCCCTGCTGGAGCAGGTTTCTTGGTAGATCTTGTGACACTGGGGGACTCATGCTGAAGGAGCCTTTTCCTGGAGGACTACACCCCATGAAAAAAGGGTTCCACACTGGAGCAGTTCCAGAGGAAACATACTGTAGCCTGTAGGAAGGACTTATGTTGGATCAGTCCATGGAGGACTGTCTTCTATGGGAGGAACCCACACTGGAGCAGGGGAAGGACTCCCCTCTTTGAGGAGGAAGGAGCAGAAATAAGATGTGATGAACTGATTTTAACCCCCACTCATTTCCCTGTGCCTCTTGTGGGGTAGAGGTAGAGCCCAACAAGGAGGGAGAGCTGAGATTGGGGTATTTTTAAGATTTGTTTTACTTCTCATTATTCTACTCTGATTTTGATTGGTAATAAATTCAGTTACTTTCCCCAAGTCAATTCTGATTTGCCCATGAGAGTAACCAGTGGGTGATCTCTCCCTGTCCTGATCTCAACTCATGAGCCTTTTGTTGTATTTTTTCTCCCCTGTTCAGCTGAGGAGCGGAGTGACAGAGTGGCTTTGGCTGGGCACCTGGTGTCTAGCCTGGGTCAACCCACTCTAGATGTTCAAATTTATGGGAAGATTCCTCATGCTTGGAAGACTAGCCTTGCATACAGTTCTAGAAGAGGCAAGAAGGATGACCAGGAACTGTAGACTCATTAGCCTCACTTCTATTTCTGGAAAGATCACGTAGCTTGTTTCTTTGGAATTAATTTCTAAGCTTATGAAGGACAAGATGTTAGTTGGGAGTATTTGGTACTTGTAAATAAAAATGAATTACTTTCTATGATGATATGACTGTGAATGTGGATAAAGGGAGAACAAGTCAATGTTCCTTGACTTCAATAAGTCTTTGATTAATGTCTCCATAAGGAATCTTATTTGGAAGCTGAAGAAGCACAAGGTAGGTGAATGGATTGCTAAGTGAGTCGAAAGTTGTCAAATGAAAAAGTAATTAATGCCTTGATATCTGATAACAAGTGAGTACTACAAAAGTAAATGCTAGGTTATGTATTGTTTCACATATTCATCAGTGACTTGGGTGATGAGCAGTCTTCACTCCCCAATGGCTGCTGTGATGCAAGATAGAATTGCAATCCAGATCATGCTTTATGAGCTTTAGATTTGAATCCAAGAGATTGAAGAAGGATAAATTTCCGCATGTAGTACGGACCAGGAAGTACTAGCGACTCACAGAGTCTGTTGTAAAGGGCTTGGGAGTTAAGTTGAAGACTGTTATGAACATGAGCCAATAGTGATCTCCTGTAACAAGCAAAGATACATGTTGTACTGGGTTACCTTAGAGTAAAGTGATGAACATGGCCTGCAAGTTAAAGGAAGCTGTTATCCCTCCTGGGAGGGGGAGTTCTTGACAAGGTTACACTCGGAGTAATGATCTTGTGTGGAACCATTCCAGTTCAAGAGGGATGCAGATAAACTTGAGAGTATCTCAAAGATCTCTTTTCTTGAGGAGTCTTGGAGGACTGCCAGGGTGGTTAAGGGCACAGACCATACACATGTGTTGTGAAGAAGTTGAGTGATCTGGGTTAATGTGGTGAAGAGAAGAAAAAGTGACATCCGATGGCTTCCTGCAGCAGTTTAACAGGTGGTTATGAAGATGGCAGAGCCTAACTCTTCTTACAAGTACTAGATTATACAATAAAGGATAATGGCCACAGCAGGAAAACCTTTTCCATTACATTGCTGTATTACAGTGCAGCACTGGAATATGCTCACCAGATGTGTTGGAATATTTCTCTCCTTGGACATTTTCAAGGTCTGGCTAGGTAACAAATTACCTGACTGACTTGTTTTAGTGCTGGTAATAATCATCTGCTTTGAGAGAGAAGGTTAGGCTAAGTGAACTGCAGAGGTTCTTTCTGGCCATGATTTCTATGGATATGATGCCATAAATTTGAAAAAGTATCAACCTTTTTTTCAGGAATTTGGCTGGGTGTGGAATGGGATGATCCTCAGAGGGGAAAGCATGATGGCAACTATGAAGGAACACAGTATTTTAAGTGCAGGTGAGTTGATTCACAGCATTGGCATGTCATATGTGGTGATGAGATGGTCATGAGAAAAGGCCCTTTGGCAATTTTTAGGGCAAACCCTTCTGTTATCAGTTGGCCAGTATTAAAAAGATCATAATTCTAAGTGCTCTGACTAGCTAATCCATAGAGGCTCTTGCACTGATATTTATCCAGTTACAGGTATTAGAGTATAGTAAATACTTAGAAAATACAAGTCATGTTTTCAGAGGTATATTATGAGACCTTTGGATGTTATTATTATTACCATTTGTAAGTTTTAGACCTTTTATTTTAGTTAGGAAATCAATATTTCCTTGGGACCTTTCTGAACTGAAATATTGGTCCATATTAAGTGTCTCAAATACATTTGTTATTTAAATTTAGGGTGACTTGCATGTGTCTTGTTAAGGGAAAATACCAAGTTCCTGTTAATGATTTTGGTTATATTTGTATCACTAAGGAATTGTTAAATATATTCACTGGATTTAGGACATGCAGAACATAGTGCAGCTGTGTGGTGTTTTTAAATATATGCATGCTTTACTTTTAAGTGAAAAAATTTGAGCACTTAACATGTTTGAAATTGCGAAATACAGGACTCTAGGATGGATATTAACTGTATCAAGTTGTTGATTTTTATGTCAGGACACATGCAACAAAAAGTTTGTAAGTTAAATAGCAACTGGATGAATTCATAGAAGAAAGTCATCAGTAGCTCTTAAATACTATAGACTGCTAGCTCAGTAAGTTCCTGAGCATAGAAGTGGTGAAAGATGAGAGAACAATCTATTCTTCAGAAAAATAAGTAAAGAAGAAAACACCCACCTGTGAGAACTGGATATTTTTTTTTCTCTTTTATCAAATAATAATAAAGCAAGGCCTGAGGAGGCTAAACACACTCACTTAGTACAAGAAAAAAATTAAACATCGCTGGATTTTTTGTTTCACCTAAAGAATTGGAAATGATGGTACTAGAGCAACCATGTCTTTTAAATTAATATATTAGTGGAAGTTACTTCCTGAATGCTTTGAATTTAATTTAAAAAGTTTCCAAGTTGAAGCTAGTTATGTTCTGCTGTAGGAGAAAAAAATAGAAATAATTGGCTAACCATTTCGAATCTCTATGGAGAGAAAGAGCAATTGAACATTTCATGAATGTTTTTCAGAAGCTTGACTACTTTACATTTGTGTGTATATGATATTTATATGCATGTGTATAGACTTTTGGGTTTTAGCAGCCATTAATGTACTTCCAGGAGATGAGATCTCAGACAGTAATCTTAATTCTTGATGTAAAAATCAATGTTTTGAGTGAAGCTCAATATCCATAACAAATGTAAACGTTGTGGTCTTTAAAGATGTTTTTCTTTCAATACCTGTTCTTTGTACTCTGCTATTTTCCAATCAGAAGAGATCCTGCTGGAATCTAAGAGAATACATAGTTCTAGCAGTCCACCAAGACACACAGACATAATTTCCTGTGTGCAGACATGTTTGTAGTTCTTATACTGACTGAGAAAATGTAAGCAAACCTAAGTAAAAAACAGTTACCTTATTTTAGCAAAAGTATGCTAAAACAGAAAACCATCTCACAACTTTAAACATCACTTCTTTATGACTACTGATTAGGAGAGAATAATGAATGTAGATGAATATACACACGTTAAAAAAAAAAAAGCTGTATTTTTCCCCTTAACACCTTATCATGAGTATCCTTTGCCTACAAGCCTACTTTGCTCACTCCTTGGATTCTGATAAGCAGAAGCAGCTGATCAAGTAGCTTGTACTGTAAACAGATGTAGTGAAAGGATATTTTGAAATTGTTTTTAAGGCAATTTTGAAAATAATTGCTTTAAAAAATACATCTTTCAGAGTGACATTTGAAAATTAGATCATAACAGGAAAATAGAACAGATTTTGAGATTCTCACTACTAGAGAATTTTTTTTCTAGTCCTTACTTGAAACAGTAGGTCTGCTTACAGCTCTATGTGATCTCTATGGTCGTTTTTTTGAAAATATGACCAAAACTTTTATGTTTCATGGCAGTACATTTATCTGGGTTATATATTATGTGGTGATAATTGGACTTCTTAAGAATATGAATATGAAGGAACAAAACAGCCATACTTCAAATTATGCTGACATCATGAGCATGTTCATCAGCTAGAAATGGCAATGCACAATCTAGTGGTGGTTTTGTGTTTGTTTTTTTTCCTGAAAATAGGATCTTGTTTCTTAATAACTGAGGAAGCTACTACTTTAGCTGTCAGTTGCAGTAGCGTATAATGTAGTTAAATTATGTTCTGCAGTCCTTCAAGAGAAATAAGGAGTAATCAAGCCTTAAAACAGTGTTAAAATTTGTATACAGCTTTTTGTAACATGAGTGCACTTTCCAATAGATTCTTGTCCCACAGACCCACTCACACATTTGTATATGTGTGTTCCCCTGGGAAACGTGGGTTACAAGCACACCCTCCTCCCCTAATCGTCCTATGCTTGTTGCATGATGACATTCAATATGATCTGCTCCATAAAAGACCTGTTTACATTAAATTAGGCTATTTTTTCTTCAAGGGTGAACAGATTCACCTCCAGGAATATCTATCTAGAGCATAAACAAACTCTTCAAATACAGAAAGAAAATGTCATTTTAGTGTCCATGAGGAAAAAATTATTTCCATTTTGCAAGGGCAGAAAGCATTCCTAAGATTCCTGAGAAGGTTTTGGTCAAGAAGTTTTGTCCATCAGAAACTCAAGCTCTTTGCTGCCAATAGAACTGTGCTGAAACAAAAGGTTGTCCTTAACCACTGCTCAAATGTGTCCTGTGCAGCAGCAGAACCCCAAGACAGCATCTAAAACTGCAGATGTCTGTCTTTCCTTGTTTTTTCAAAGCTTAGAGTCAAGTTTTGTGTCTCTTTAACTAAGGTAAGCTTTCAAGAACTTGAAGTACTTGCTCATGTTTGCAAAGCTTCTGCTGTTCAGTCAGGAATTTGATACACCATGGCAGGTTAGTGTTAAGTGTCATTTATAAGCATTGTTTGGTGCCATGGCCTGTTCTAAAACTTGAAGGATTTTCTTTACTGCAGTGTGTAGATTCTTCTAACAGAAGTTTTGTCTGTTGAACACCTTCCCCTAGAAGGAAGAGATTTGTTCAGATTCTGTATAGAAAAGACATGCATGGATTCAAACAGCTCCACTTTATGACACCTTATGAGCCCTGTAGTGCATTTGCTCCAGTCATGATGGTAATTGCCTGGAGCTGATCATTGCAAACAGACGGTGCTGGGCAAAGAAGCCCTTTGATCCACGTTTACTGCCTAGGCTGATAAAGCTGGCACTTCTCTCTGTGGCTCAGAAGCTTCTGCAGTCAGACAGCTCAAGTGTGGTGTAGCTATTATGATTTATGTACTCCTGCATTTTTCTTCAGTACTGAGAAGTGTGTGTGTGATATTTCCCTAGCATGTGAAGAGCCATCATGTACCTGTAATGATGAGCAGTGCCATGACTTTGTTTTACATTAGCAAAGAATGATGCCAGATTTCCTCTTTATTCAGTGGAAGCTGACAGCTAATCTAAATTTTAATGAGTATCCTCAAAATTCCCTGGGCATGCCAGCAGATGGGTTGTATGCTTCAGGCTACTGAATCAAGAATAGGAAGTGTCCTACAAGATAACTTCTGAGATTGGGGTCAACCTCTCTATTTTAAAAGTTAGTAGGAAGTGTCAATAGAGCCAACCGCTTGCCAGAGCCCCACTTGAGCATATTTCACATTTTCTGCTTAAGAGAATTGGGCCGTATCTTCTACCTCTCTATTTCCACACAGTTTTTTGTTCTGGCTGCAAGACAGTTTGCATACATGAGAACAAAATCCTTGTTCTCAGACTTCTGAGTGCTCATATTAAGTCAGGTTGGTCAGTAATCCATAGGTTCTTCCATCTCATAATATGCATGCTGGATGACTCTTTGGATTAGGATTTTTCTGTTTAGCTCCCAGTTATGGAGACTGATGGCTAAAGGTGCATTTTTCATTAGTCCAGGTGCTGTACATTATTTGTTTGATATGTACATACATCTTGTACAGTTCATATGTCCTATTGTGAAATTTAATACAGGCAGTATGTTTTAGGGAAAATGTGACTTCTCTCCTTAATGCAAAATAATTTTGCCTGAAAATAGGTTCCTATTGCAGTTTCCTCTCCTGTGCTTTGTGACAGTTCCTAAAAAAGTAGATCAAATAAATAGACTGGAACTGAAAAAGAAGCTTAGGCTATGGAATGGATTTAAATATACATTGGGTAACTTAAAATAGCGTTCAGAGTAATGGGAAGTGATAGCAAGAGGAAAGAGAAAACCTATGATCATGTGATCAGGACAAAAAGAGAAGGGTCTTGAGAGATAAATTCACTAAAATTTTTCCTGTAGCTTTAAATGACAGGGGACAGGGTAGCTAGGTTTCTCTTTTTATTTTTCCTTTTTTTTTTTTCTATTCTCCTAAGGATAGAACTGTTTCTTGCATGGAAAATGAGGAAGGAGATGCCAATAGAAGTGGTGACCTGAGAGGACAGAAATGGGCTTAGGAATGGATATGGTGATAGAGAGACCCAAAGGTCTTGGCTATGATAGGGATAAATGGCATGACAGGAGGAATGCAGATGTGAGGTTCTAGATTAGCTCTGGTGAGAGGGTTGAGGAGAGCAGAACTGTTGAGTGTAGAGGGATGGTGATGACAAAATCATGGTAATAGGAAATTGGACAGTTGTTGTCAGAATAAACTTACAGCAGGACCTAGTGTAAATTACAGATAGACAGGAGTACATGGATTTTTTCCAGAGCCCCAAGCAAAATCCTGTACTATCTGCCATCTACTAAGCTGTCTGACTTAATTAAATGCAGAAGTGATATATTTGCAGGCAAGAGATCTTTTAGTTCAGGTTGCAAAAAGGTAATTTACTATTTTAAGAAGAGGTAATAAGAAAGAATCACGTCATTTTTATGTTTGAGGAAGTTCAGTATTTAAATCAGTCAGGTGTTTGCAAGCTATGAAGAATTTCAAAGGAATGGAAGCATTTGCTTAAGGTTACTGGATTAAAAATGTATTGAAAATGTCTATCAAACATGAAAAGTTCATAGCAGATTTACATTCTTTAGGCGTTTGCCTTTCTGCTTCTTTTGTAATCGTTGCACTCTAAAGTTAGTCATTATAAAACTAGACTGAAAATATTTTGAAAGTAAATAATATCGAGTTTCTACCTAGGTCCTTCTTTAGGATATGAGAGTAGAAATATTAATGAATGAAATTGGCACAGGAAATTTCAAGCACTGATTTTTTTTTTAACAGAAATGTCAATACATGGTGCCCAAGGTATTCCATCTACTTGTAATAGGTCCATAGGATTCGGGACCTTTAGTTACTGTTTCTTTCTGTGAGAATTTTGAACTTTGCAGCATTGGTGATTTATATTATGTTTTGCTAATTAGCCACTTGATACTTACATGCTGTTTTGAGAAGTTATATTTACATAAGTGATGTTTTCCTCCTGGGCACTTTCCTACCAAAGCCTATTGTCTTCTCAGCTTGATGGTAGACAGATATTTATAGCTATCAGTTTTTTTCCTGATGTTTCCTGGCTGATGCTCCTATCAGATCCTCGTCTGCTCTTGATACCATTCCCATGACTTGTCTCGGCTAGTACTTCCCTGAAACTCACTAGCTTTGATAGAACATGTCGAAGCAATTGCATGGCAAGAAATGGGCATGCAAAAAAGTTTTTTCAGTGCTCAGGACAGAACAAGAAACTTCATAGGACTGTGTTGAATATAAATTATTAGTTGGATATTTCTGTTGAATATTCAAAATTGTTACCAAATTGGTATCAGGATTTTGAAAGTTTGTGGTTGTATAAGAGTTCTGAGTGCTACAATTTGTATGTCGTGTCATTTGTATGATAGATTACTAGTGAACTATGCAAGTCAAATACAATGTAGCAATTCTATTCTGAATATTCCTAAGGCTTTGGTAAAACTCCAGGCACATTTATTGTATGATATAGGTAACTTTTTATCTATCCATAGGTAGAAATTTCTTTTTCTGGAGAACCTGAGTTCATAACGAGTTTGGAAGTAACAGAGCAGTTATTTTTAATAATGGCACTGACACTGTAATTTTGATGTGTTTGACTGCTTTGGTTCTCAGTACTTTTGTTTAAAGTAGTAATTAATTAGTCATTGTTATGATAACTTTTTATATTTCAACTTTTCCTGGCTACTCTATTCTAGGCATCCTAAAGGAGGATCGTTCATCCGGCCAAACAAAGCAAATTTTGGAGTAGATTTTCTTACTGCAATAAAGGATCGGTACGGATTGAATGATAAGCAAGATGTTCAGTATGGGACAGGGAATACACTAGTATTTGGAACGAAGATTGTGGAATTTGTTGGCATGGATTCTGTTGCAGAACAGCAAAGGCAAGTGTAACATATGAAAATCTAAGATACATTTTTACTGATTGATCAGTCAAGTAGTATTTCATATGCATATAAAATTGTTATGTGTCTAAAAGCAAGCCAGACTGCACTATGGTGGAAGAGATAAGAAATCTTCCGATTGTGGATTAATAATTTACAGGTTTTACAAATAGGAACTGGGATTATGTCACATTTGAGTGCTAAAATCCTCATTCTGGTTTCATAAAGTAGCAGATGATGATATCTGGTGAGAAATGAGAGATAAATTATCATGATATTGGCAGTCATCACACACATGCATGGTCTTTTTAAAGTAGATATATTTTAATGTTTTCTTAATATCATGCAGTGTTTTAGTCTTTGTTTACTCGTAACACAAATGACTTTGTAACCAAGAGAGGGAAGGCAGAAAGTCACTGTACTGCTAGTGAAGAAGTTTTTCAGTCAGTTCACGTCATGTTCATGTACCTGGAGGGGTAAGAAAGGAAGTAACTTAATGATGTGTAATAAATGGCAGTTCTGATGGCCTCCAGCAGTAGAGACGTATTAGTTCAGTAGGTGGCAGTCTCCTTCTGAGCTGATATTCCACAACTATTCTCCTTGTTTCCTAGAGCATACTAAGCAGTAAAAAATACTTTTGATAAGTGATACAAAGAATGCCCAAATAACTCTGAACCTCTTGCAAAACATGTTGCAAGAAATCTTTTTAACTTGGAACCTCTAATTAAATTCCAATTTGCACAGCTGTATTTAATCTGTTTTACCACTCTTTATTTCAGTTGGATGAGGTTTTTGTGGGGGTGTGGGAACTGTGGTTCAACCAGACTTATTTTGTAGTAGTGATGTAAAAGCAAAAAATGGAGAAGTGTCTGTTTTCGAGTGCGAATGACACTGCAGTGTAGTAATCTGCACGTTGCTAATTCCAAAGGAGAGATACACATGAAAAGGATGTTATGTAGTTGTGAAAACCAGGCATTTATGTAACATACCTATTTCTGTTTGAAGATTACCTAACAGAATGTTCTTTCTCATGTAGGCAACTGAACAAACTGGTGGATATCTCAGTGCGTGAGTGTGCAGTGAGCCATGCTGGTCAGGAAGAGGAAATCAGCAGAACGTGTGCCAGTATCCTTTTTTTGCTGTATTGCATGATGCCACAAATAAAGTACATACTTTAGCATTCCAAGTGTTCACATCAATGAATGATATTTGTATCCTTTTATTTAAAAAAAAATTGAAGCTGAAGTTTATATTTAAAAGTTTAATGCAATGTTAAAGAGTTAAAAAGCCAGATACTTAGCATTTTTGAGAGGAAATGCAAATTGTGTGTAAAAATAGAAGTATAGTCATAGGTTGTTACTGTGACTGCAGTTTCAGAAGGCTCCAGCAATGGTTTTTGCAAAAATTCCCTAGAACAGATAATCCTATAGAACTGATATGTTCTATAGACACCAGAGGTTTCCAATATATTAAAAATAATGTGTTTAGTACTGCATGTAGTGGCAATGTTACAAAACAACAAAGCAGTTATTATTTGCTAATTTATAAGGACTTATAAGAGCTGTAGAAATTAATCCATTTGAGGATTTGTATCATTGAGATCTTCTATAAAAGTATAAGCCATTTCCATATCACAAATCAAAATAAAATTTGCTGGAACTGGGCAGCAACATCTCTTAGTGTAATCTATTTCTCTTTGATTCGCAACAAAACACTAATTCTGATTCTGAAAAAGGACGTTTTGAGATAAGTTTATTTTTCTTAACAAGAAATTTCAGATATGAGGCATATAAACCTATCAAAAAATCTGATATCATCTTGGGAGACAGTAATAGCTATTGCTTCTCAAGTTCAAAATCTGGAAACACTTAATGTCAGGTATAAATATTCATATTTGAATTTCTCTTCCTTTGGGGTAGGAATAAAAAACAAGAGGCTCAGGATTCAGCCTACTAAATGTAACTGGATACAACTCATTCTAATGGGAGCTAAGTTTTTGAATACTTTTTTTTGTTTTTAAAATCTTGTTCTTAAGCAACTGCTTAAGTTGTGAGCTATAGTGTGGACTAAATTTTACACAGAAGCTGAACTCTTAGGGTTCTAGTCTTTTCTTGAATACAGATGTCAGAAAAATAAAGTTCTAGAGAACATTTTCTTCAAAGTTTTAATACTTGATCTTTTTTTTTATTCTTGATGCATTCTGGCTGCTCAGGCAGGTCTGCATTTAGGAGCCCACTTTTGTTTAATCAACTGTGTCTTGACACTAAATTTAGTTATAATGCTTTAACCAAACCTTAATTATCCCAAACCCTAGTCTATTTCTGTCCTAAAATGAGGCTGATAAGAAACTGGTAAGATTATGGTGACAGATCTAGGGGAAAATCTCTTGTCCAATGATGATATTGGAAAATGAAGGAGGGTGCTGTTAAATAAAACTCCAATTCTATTGAAACAAGAAAAGTCGTAAAATAATTTCAAAATAAAGAATATTTCTAGTACACATCTATGCACTCTAATTGGCACATGCCACAATAATTTTTTGGTGTGAAGTAACCAGAATCCATTACTGGTATGAATGGATTAAGGAGCAGCCTAGATCACCAGGTTTTTTATTTATTTTTATCATTAATGTGGCAAAAATGTATTTTTTAAATAGTTGTAGGTGTTCCAGTTTCTTCTATGTTTAGCACTGAACAGCTGTTTGCAACCTGGGTGCTATTTGTAAATCTAACTTTGCCTAGAGCATATAATGATTTATCATTATCAGTATGCATGAGAGCACAAAGAATTTATTTTAATTCACCTGGAATAATTTTTTCAGTTTTTCATTGTTAAGAAGTGTTCTCTAGACTGAAGGGTTTTCAGAAGTTATTTGTGAAAAAAATGGAAAACAAATTTAGATTGATGCTGGAGTCTGATGCTTTCTACTACAAACTGACATAGTCTAAATCATTTTTTATTGTCTTTGCCTCATGTTTGCTTAAAAAAAGAAATTACTGATTTTTTTTTTTGTGTGTGCATGGAATGTTGGAAGAAGAATAAAAGTGATTTCCACCTCTATGTGGAAATTTTATCCATAAGTATGTAACTATAAACTACACTGAGAGATTTTTAGGTTAGGCCTTAGGAAAGAAATCAAAACTTCTCTTCTGGGGTGAATAATGAAAACTGATTTGAAGACAGCAGATTTGAGAATCTTTATCTTTTCTTCTTTGACTGAGAGTGGATTTTACATACTTTTGTTTTACTGGGGTCTGGATAGTTATGTAGGCTCTTCATTTTTAGTCAACACTAAGGAGTTTAAGCCCAAGCTCTGGCTTGTTTCATTTAATATTAATGAAAATCATTCTTTTCATGTTCAAAACTTAGTGCAAGAGAAAGAGGCCACAGATGAATAAATATGCGTTCTTGAATAAATATGTATTCCTGAAGCAGGAAAGTAAATTAGGAAAGGGTGTGTTTGAATATAACTAGAAATATATCTTATTATATTTTAAAATATGTGACATCTTAGCAGATTTTAATTTTTGGAGGGTGTAAATTTCTTTTTATTTAATGTCTAACTCAACTAATGACTTAAATAAATGCGATTATTCATTATGCAAATAAATATTCTTTTTATGCAGTGAAAACAAAATGAGATTTCCATCTACATCAACTTTTACATCCAGTGCATTTTCAAACTTGAAGATTCTGGCACTTAATCAAACTGAAATAACATGGACAGAGGTAATAGCCTTTCCTGATTTTTAAAAAATTTACTGTCATTAGGTTTCTGAGGCAAGGAAACCACAATAAACATTTGTGCACTCTATTGTTCTACTGAAATGAAATAATCCTTAGAAAACGTGCTGTGGGCTAGCTGTGTTAGTTACATATTAACTAATATACTTCCTATATAATGAGGGAAGTAATATTGGCACAGGAGTCTAATAAGAAATATTTTACTTCATCTACGTCTGTAAATTGCCAAATCAAAATAAAGTACTTGGAGTACAATATAGCCTCGTGTCCCAAAGTTTAAGTGAAGACTTTTTGGTTCCTGGTAGCTTTTAAAGATTTACCTGTACTTCTCTGTATGCAATAGAACAAATGCAAATGGAAAGAAAAGATTTCCTTACGATGAGAAATGCTTGTTTTGGCATCACTTTGCATAGCAGGAGACTGGATTGGTATCTTTGCCCATACTGATGGCTCTTGAACCATATGATGCCTGCTTATTGGCAGCACAGAGCAGAGGAAAAACTCTGACTAGTTTCAGGCACTGAAACTTGCACATTTAAATGCCTCCTCTGGCGTGACATCTTATTAGGAATGGAGTCCTGTTGTCAGCTATAGTTAGCAGTGGGCCTTTTATCAGAGATGGGGCTTAGGAAGTGCATCTCAGTGTCACATTACTTAAAATGGCTTCTAAATTCCAAAGTATTATTTGGATTTCTCGGGGTCAGATTTTATAGTACTGTTTTGTAAAATTACATGACTTTTCAGATTTCGGCCGCCAGCTGCTATCCAGTAAAAGAGCACTTAAAAAACTGGGGCTTGAGTAGGAAGAAGCTTCTTCAATCTCTTGTCATGCAGCAGGCCTAGAGGAAGGTCACTGCTGTGTTTTTGTTTAGTGTCTGTTCACTGTGCTCTTAAAACTGCCTGTGGGATTTATGGTAGGACAGTTGATAATCCTTCCATGGTAGCAGCAATATGAACGGTGAAGGGAATGGAAGAATTAAGTGGCTACAAACACTTTAAATGTCATCAGAGTAAATCTGTGCATTGTGGTGTTTAAAATGTTGGCACCTGCCAGCAGCTGTCCTTCATCCCTCCATGAGGTGACTGAAAGGCTGGTTGGAACCCTGGCTGCAGGCAGATTGGAGTTCTCTAGGGCTAACTCAATTGCAGTGAGAAAGCCCCAGTTTAGTCAGAGCAATTTAAAATTATGCAGCTTTTGTATCTTTTTTTTGAAACTCTGCTTTAGGTGATGATTCGTCATTGGCCATAAAGATATCCTTGGCTCCAAAATCTGTTTTATAAATTTGTTCCAGTTCATTCTCTGTAAGCTGGGAGACATAAGCCTGTGCTTCACAGTGGTTTTCCAGGGCAGCCAAACAAAAGGGGAAAAATAAAGTCATGTACCTGACATCAGTCAGTACCTCTGTGCACAAACCACTTGAAAATATCACTGCTTAAGCTCTGAGGGGAGTTACTTGAAAAGTCAACTTGTAAATAGAAAACAATAATGAATATAATACAAGCAATTGATAAATACATTTAAATTGTCGATTGGGATATAAGAAAAGTCTTAGGAGTGTTTTAATTAAAATTAAAACAATTTAATGGTGAACAGCATTTCAAAATTACTTGCTGTTATATGTTAGAATATATGGCATTGGGATAGTTATACTTGGATTTTTTCTTTTTAGTTTGTGTTTTGAAGTATTTTTCATAGGACAGGGACATGCTTAACTGTTATGCAATAATACAAAGCTCCACATTAATGTGCCTTGAGCATCAGTTTTCAAAAATAATTCTTTCATTAGTATATGATTTGCAAATATCTAAATATTTCTGACATTACTAGTATATCACTAAAAGAGTTTATTACTGTAAGAACTGTTAATTGATTGCTCAAAACATAACATATAACTTTCAAGGTTAACAAAAATGTCCTGTAAAATAACTTGAAGTTGGCAACCATTGACTTAGAAATTGAATTAATGCATTTGAGTGTAATGAATTCATATTTATGGCTCCAAACCCTTTCTTTCTTATTCAGGATTTAAATTATAACATTGTATTTGTGATCTTGTTTTCAAGCTAAGATTTTATATTTATAATATAATTTACTATTATACAGGGTAAAAGAAAAATCTGAGTTAGAACAGAAGTGCAGGATCATGCTTCTGACACTAGCAAGTAGCAGCAGGTAGTTGGGAAATTTCTAGGCAAAGGGTAAGCACATGGTAAAAGCTTCTTAGAAAGTAATATGGAATTGTGCCAGCTGGTAATCTGGTATTGTGTCAGCTCAAGACTATATACCTCTAATTAATATTTGTGGGGCTTTTGTTTCATGATTTATCTAGCTTTTTTTAAAACCCATTTGAAAATTTTGCTATACATATCTTTTAACATCAATTTAACCTTTTTTGGGTTCTGATATCGTTGCTTAATAATTTCATTTAGTAAGTCCCAAGGTTTTATATGAAAGTAACTGAGAACAGGTATTCTCTGTTTCATGGCTTTTATTCTTCTTTGGCTTCTTTGTGCCTTTCCCAATTATAATATTTGCTTCCTGAGATAAACAGACTAATGATACAGGAACATCATGGATTTACATGGTGACAATTGTTTCTTGTTCTCATCTTTATTTCTTTTGCAAAAGCTCTTGCATTTTCCATTCCATGGTTTTGAGCATCAGTGGGTCTCCTCTGGATACTTGTTACCTCCCCATCAACTATCCACAATGAGGCCCCAGTCTTTCCTGAGGGTTAATTCAGTGTTAGATCTGTGAACTTTTTTTTCTGAGGAAGCTGTTTTAAGCAGTAGCTGGAAATCTGACAATTTGAGTTTCTTAGAATTTGTGTTATGACCTATCATTTGGCAATTTTCAAGTCATTTGGCCAGCCTATTGAAAAATATTCAAATACTTCAGGTTTGTGCAGGTTTTTTTATTCCATGCATCCATCCATCCCTCCATCCATCTCAGTGCAGGACTGTTGTGGGGGAATCTCTGTTACTGAACATGCACCTCATTTCTCTTGACTCTGTGGGTTTCTTGTCATGCTTCATCACCAGTGGATAACTATTTTGGTCTATCTTGTTCACATGGGGAAATACTATCAGATTAAAGAGATGAAATATTGCTGTTCCCTGCTCTTGCTTTGGAACAGGAAAATTGTTGTATCTGAGTTTGTGTTTGTGTGTTACAGATATGGCAGCAGGTTTTCATATTTTTGGGTGTGAAGCAGTTGAGCTCCAAATCATGGGCTGCCCCTTGAGGAGGTCTCTATTTACCCTTGGCATGGTGTCTGTTATGAGTCAGTTACATACCAGACCTGCAGCTGGAACAGAGGGAATGGTACCGAGGAGAGGGGATGATTACAGGAGAAGGGGTCAGCTATGCACAAAACCAGCTGGATTGGACACTCCAGATCTCTTAACTCCACTGGTTGTAGCCTTTGTAACCTCCTGTAGAAACGAGATTTCAGTGACTGTGACACTCACAGTCTGTGTCTGTCTGTGTTCTTGCATCTCAAAAACTTTGAGTCCCCTAGTCAGTTACAATCACATTTAGGAAAGAGTTGGGGCTTAAAAATAATTTACTAATTCCCTTAAAACAGGAATGTGGATGAATGAAAGAGCCCCTGTAAGTTTCCCAATCAAAGAAAGACTAGCATACACTTATGAGCACACACTTATTTTGATTGTGGAGATTACACACCAGGAAGAAAACTCAGTGAAAAGAATAATTTGCCAATCACAGACACACATTTGTAGAAAAGCAATCAGTTCCAGTGCTTATGGAAATTCCACGTGCTAAAACTGCACCATGTTTGACATTTTGACAATGGCATACAGAAGTATTTTATGCCAGCAATTTATATTGCCTTGTAATAAGTGTTTGTTTTTTAAAGTTTTTTCACCTCCTGTAAATGTTTGTGAAGAAAAAAACTGTGTAAAGTAAAATAATATATTTTATGCAATTTCAGGGTGTAAGATCTAAAACAAAAGTATCTTTGTTCAATTTGTAGCCCTTTTTGAATTCATGTATCTTCTTTAGAGAACTTGAAAACTTCAAGGTGTGTTCAATTAATGCAATTCTTGGCTTTTATGGGCTAGCATAGTCCCAAGACAGAAAAGGCTTCAAGCTCAGATAAACTAAGCTATTAAAAAACATTCTGTCCAACATGATGAGGTGTGTGTGTTAGCTGGTTCTGGAACTTCTGCACATATATAGAGTTTATACAGCCAATTCCTCACCTCATCATAGGGAAAACCTGGTCACTCCAACTCACTGAATAAATTAACTCAAGTTTCCAGGTCAGTTTCCAGTCTCAGCTGTGAGGGTGGCCACAAGCCTGGGACTTAAGAGTCCTGTGAATGCAGAGCCCCTTAGACATCATCTGCGTTGGTAGATCCAGGCAAAGGAGAGCCATCTGGAAGAAAGGGAAAACTAGGAAATCTTTAATAATTGTTTCTCTGGTTTGGGGAGCCATAGCTTGTTCTGAACACATTCAGAGCAAATTTGCATGAAGTGTAATTTCTGAAATATTTTTCCCATCTTTTGTTATATTAAATAAAGTTTTGCTCCTAGGTTCTTCTTTGTGCTCAAGGATGGCCAGTACTTGAAGAGTTGTACCTTTCTTCTAATAATATTACAGATTTGAAAAGGTGAGTAACATGAGTCAATCAGTTGTTAGCCACTGGTGTACTACGAAGCACACAAAATTATATTCCTGTAACATTTACATCACCATGACAGTAAGTGATGCAAATTTCACTGCATCTGATGTACTTCAGGGCATTTGTAAATGTACAAATGTGTGCATTTTTAAATGTACAATGTGTGCATGCAATTATATACTTAGGAAAGCAGTGTTTTCATTGCCCAATAACTTTAAATATTGTTTGTTTGTTTTTTTCCAATGTATCAGGCCTGATAATGTCCTGCAGACCCTGAAGTTGTTAGACCTTTCAGACAACCAGTTACTGGATGGAAATCAGCTGCATCTAATAGCACAGCTCCCCAGGTAGCTGTAAACAAATTTGCTGGAAATTCTTTGTCCTAGATATTCATCTCCATAGTCCTTGTTGGCTGAAATATGATGGTATTGATGTTGCATGAAAGATTCATGAGATCTTGAAGTAGAGGCATTTTGCCCTCTTGAGGAGAGCAACTGCATTATTTAGTTGAGCTGTTTTAATATAATCTTGCTTTTGTTGTATAATAACACATTCTTCAGCTGTATGTTATTAGGTTTTCATTATACACTTACGAAATGAAAGTGATTTACCACATTTTGCTAATTTGCAGAATTATCATCTTTCCCTGCAAACCAAAACAGCAGCCATGATTTTCAATAGCCACAAGCTATTTTTTAAAAATTCATTTAGAAAATCACACATTTTAAATCCAGGAGCCATTCTGAAAGCTTGAAATTGTTGCACTTAACTCACTGAAAATTTTATTCCCTGAACACTGCTGAAGTCTGGCTACTGTCTGTGAGGCTGCTTTTCAATTGTCAATAATGCTGAACCACATCAAAAGCTGCAGATCTTTATTAAGAAAATTAGGTTGTATTTCTTTGCAAAAAACTTACTGCGCCACATACAGTGATCATTGTTTCTATTAAATTTCAGATTAGAACAGCTAATAATTAGAAATACTGGGATATCTTCTATACAGTTTCCTGATGCTGAATTTGGTATGTAAAGGAAGTAATTTATCTATAGTTTTAAAATTCTGTTTATCTGAAGTTTTCAGTGTTTTCTTGTTACTTTTCCTAGGATGCAAGACGAAAATGTTTCCTTTGCTAAAACGCCTTGCAATAAATGACAATAAAATATCACAGGTAGGTTAGATTGTGATGGTTTCACATTTTGTAAATAAATGTATCTTTGTTTAAGACTAACTTGAAGTTTGCTTTTTAAAATTTTCTTTGATTGTATGTATGATTCTGAGGTAACTGTTGAATACTTTTGTCAATACAGAGGCATAATTTAAAAATGTAAAAACATTTCTTAACAATTAACACACATTTATATTATGGCAGCAACCTCATAATTCCTCTCACAGAATTCTAATGATCTAAAGTGCTGCTAATTCATTGGTTTGGTTTGATTTTTAATTAAATGGAATGCAGTTCTTTCCTTAGCTAATGAGCAGGATCCCAGTACTTGGGTCTGATGATCAAAAGAATTTTTCCAGTCATGTCTGTTGTACAGAAAAAGTCAGTGTTAACAGTATTGTTTGAAATGAAGTTGTTTTATATTTCCACAAAAGACTCTTCCCTTCCATTTCAGTGGTCATCTATCAATGAGCTTGACAAACTGCCAAGTCTGCGGGCACTGCAGTGTAGCAATAACCCCTTCATGGACACAGAGAAGAACCCAGAGACCCTGATACAGCTCATTATTGCCAAGATCAGTCAGTTGGAGGTTTTGAACAACTGTGAGGTATGTGATATTTCAATAAATTTCAATTGCATGAATCTGGCAAAAATTTAAATCACTGCCTGAGGAGATGTTTTCAGTTTCTTTTAAGATTATTGATTGTTTGGGTACAGGAAAAGTAAAGTGCCAGCTAGTCCATCCTGTTGTCAGTGGGGAAGTCATTAGGGCTACAAGACTGAGCCCTCTTTGTGAGCATTGCTAACTCAGCGAGGACTTGGACAAGATGGGTCCATGCTGGTTTTTTCTCAGTGCCTGAATTGTGTTGAAGTTGCAGGACTGTCAACAAAATCCATACTCTTAAAAAAAGGAAAAAATAGAAAAAGCAGCATAGTCAGATGTGTTTCAGTGACAGCAATTCCAACGTTTGCCTTCCACAATAGAAAAATATCATAATCCACATCAAATCAAACTTTCAGCAAATGTTTATTATCATAAAGGAGAGTAGAAGCATCTGATCCACGACTACAGAAAACATCCTTGCATCATCATATACAGCAAAATCTTGGCTTAGATATTCATTTATGGCTCAGTGCGTATACAGAGGGGCTTTAAGACTCTTAATGGTTCTAAAATGTACTGAATATGTGGATCAGTCAGTATTTGGAGACATGGTTTGTAAGATTCTTGGTCGCATTAAAACATACTGAACAGCAATTAAGACCAAGGAGTCTGTGGCATTGATTAGATTTTATTCTCTGGAAAGTTATACAATTATATTATGTGCCATTCCTGTGTCAGTACAGATCCTTCCTGCTGAAAGAAGAGGAGCAGAGCTTGATTATCGCAAAATATTTGGAAAGGACTGGCTAGAAGCTGGTGGGCATTGGAACCCAGAGAAAAACAAACCAAGTGAAGAATTTCTTGCTGCCCATCCCAGATACCAAACGCTTTGTCTTAGTAAGTACAAGCAGAGTACAATAACATTTCCTCACCTCTAGCATTGTGGCAGCCCTGGTTTGGTCTGTTTTCAATTCCTCTTCCCCTTGGTCCTTTTTCCATGTGCTGCTACAGCCTTAGGAAAGCCCATCCATTGGCTGGGCCTGTGTGCCAGTGGGCTTTTGCTCACCATGGGGCAGCTGCACAGAACTGCACCCCTCAGGATACTGCTGCCTCAGGAACTCGGGCTCCCTGCCTTGGAGACTCCAGCAGCTGTGAGCATGCACTCCACCACTGCTGCTGAGCAGGCAGGAGCTCTCTCAGTCGTGGGAATGTTAACCAGCACCCCCACGTCCTGAATGCTGTAGCAGCTGTACAAGGCTTGTGTCTGCAGCACTGCGTGGTGCAGGAGTTACCAGGTCTGTGCCTAGAGACCTCCTGCTTGATCCTGCACCACAGTTGCCTTAGGTCTTGAGTTTTAGTCTTTGAAGGGTTCTACATGCACTTTTCTTCCAACAGAATATGGAGCACCTGAAGAAGGAGAGCTTAAGGGACAACAGCCTTTGACTCTGAAAAATCAGCTCCTGAGTAAGAGGCCAGAAATGATCAAAATTGTTCCTTCTGCATTTAGAATATTTTATGAGCTTAGTGTCTCCTGGGTGTATATGGAGAACAAAACGTTCCAGCTTATAACTTTGCTTTTCTGAACCGTCTCAGTGAGTTTGACTGGGAACCTGATTCTGTGAACTCTCATTTCCTCCCTCAACACAAGACAAATGATTTTCTCAACTGAGATTTAATGGAGAACAAAGGTTATTGATACTCCATTCTAACAGTGTGAATGGCTTCTTTACAGAAGACATCTCAGGTTTTAAAGCATTACATTCTAATGCATTTAGGTGTAAGACTAAAGAGAACAAGGAATCTTGTTGGCTACACATAATATAAAACTTCTTTTAAGGATAAGTCTTTTAATCTCTGTAAAATAATTAGGCTAATAATGTCCTTTGAAAGTCTTTGCATAGTGCTTTTGAGAGGCCTAAAAGCCTGTTCTAAACAGAATAAGCAATTTCCATTCTACTACAGGTTATTTTAAGAAAACTAAATGGAAATGAAGCAGTTTTTGGTTAATACTCATTTTGACAAAAAAATCCTGTCTTTAAACATATTAGGGAGTCACTTTGACAATAAATTACCAAAGATGAATAAAAATTTGGTTTTAATTAATTAATTTTTTCAAATAATAACGAAATGCTATCTAAATGCTACCTGCTCAGATGCAGGCTACTTCCTAATTTTTGAGAGATCAGGATGAGCCAAGGGAAACAATTTGTAATAAAAACAGACTAGAAAGACTATGCTTCTGCCATAACAGGGCTTTTTGTTCTTTCACTAATGCCTCACCCTTCTTCCTTAAGCTTTGACAATTAAGTGCCCTGAGAAACCTGAACAGAAACCAGTGGAAAAAAAACTACCAGGTAAGAAGTCTTGGCTTACGTTCAAGCAGTTGTTTCATCGCTCCTTTTCAAACAACTGTATTAAATAATGGCAGCTGCCTCTGGCTTTGTCAGCTCCTGAAAGCTTTTCCTCTGTCATATAAAGAAATTACAAAGGCATAAATTGTTTTTAAAAAGTCATTAATCTTCTTACTTGAATTATTTCTATTCATACTTACTTTCAGTCCAGCTCAAAGATTGCAAGTTGATGCTTGTCTTATGACCTCTGCTGCTGGTTTCATGATTAATGTGTCTGAGGCAATTAAAGGCCAATTAATGGGGATGAAATCTGGTTGATGTGTTAACCAAGTAACCAGAAAGTGAAGTCTTAAGAGGCAACCACATAGTGTGTAAATCTAGATACTGAGGTCTAGTATCTAATATGTGAAGTTAGAAATCTAGTTCTAACCTCCATCATAGTTGTCTTTTTAAGTTTTAGTGCCTGCAATGGGACTAGAATGAGTAAGACCATTCTAAATTAAGCTGATGTTTTGGAAAGATGTGTCAGAATGAAGTCTGAGAGAAAAGAAAGTATTCAAGCTTTAGTCTAAAATAAAAATCACATTTATTATCACAAGTTGCATAAAATCAGATAGATACAGCTTTTACAAAAATGTTTGATAGAAAAATATTTGTCTAAGTACAATGTGTGGTATTACAGGAATAACTCACTATTGCTGTGCCTTTAGATAAAGCTTCAAAAGAAGTGAAAGTTCAACCAAAATACTGAGTTTATCTATTGCAAACACAGGTATCACATCTACTCATTCGAGATCCATTACAAAAAATACCACTTCCTATAACTTACTTCATAATATAAACAACTCTGCTGACAATGTGTTTGGGACTAATAACTCAATACCATTCCTAAGAATGTCACTAGTCCCACAGGGCCATTTGCTTACTTGTGCTGGGAAAGCCAATTCCTGGTAATGAAACAAACTGCAAGGAACAGCTGCTAGATGCAAGTAGTTAGAACCTGGCTGGTGTGTGTCCCAAAGGTCACTTAGTTTAGCATGTAGAAATACAAACTCAAAAAAGGTAAATTATGAAGTTGTAATACTTCAATTTGGTATATGGGATCAAAGAGCTAAATCTATAGTAGCACACCTTGCCCTATCCACCACTGGTTAAACCATTTCCCACTTGACAGTAGCAGATATGGTTTCAGGTACCAAAACGTTATTGCAGTGTTAGAACTGAAGCAGCAATACAGCCTTTCACTGTTGCTATAAGCAAGTGAAACACTGGTACTTTGCTACAGCTCTGTGGCAGCAGCATTTTTCTGATAACTTTTCCTTCTCTCCCCTCGACAGACTCTATGACTATTCAGAAGGTCAAAGGACTGCTGTATCGCCTATTTAAAATTCCTGGTTCGGAACTGAAACTGTCCTACGAAAGTTCTAAAGTGAGTTAAAAACGGGTATTCAACAAGAAAATATTTCATGCTGCTAAAGGTCCATAGCATGTTCTAAAATACTATCTAAAGAAATTCATTTCACTTGAGGAGGGCTGTCTTCATGCTGCAATTTAGGACCTAATTTCATTCCTGTAATATGACAGATTCTCCCTAACTGCAACTGCCTGCTATTTGGTTTGCATGACGGAATTTCAGTTTAAGTCTGATTAGGGTTTTTTTTGCTTTCTTATTCTAGTTGGAAGGAAAAGAAGTTGAACTAGACAATGACTTAAAGCCTTTGCAGTTTTACTCAATAGAAAGTGGAGACTGTGTGTTAGTACGGTGGTAAGAAGGGACTCTTTTGCTGGACTGAAGGAAGAGCTGACACAGGAACTGCAGAAGAGAAACAGACAGTGCCTGAACACACATACACACACGTGGCACCAGAGGGCTGTACAACTGTACTTTCAGCTCCTCAACTTGGTCATCAGCCTCCATGGAAACATCTGCTCATTTGTCCTACCAGAGAGATACCAAATAGTGCTTAAATGCTTCAATTAAATAAAACTCAAGGTTACCCTTTTGCCAAGATTTTATACTGCCTTCCCCCAGCAGTGGTGAGAATTTGTTTTACTGGGTCTAGTTGTGATCGCTTTGCTGATAAGACAATATAAATACTGCACTGAGAAGCCACTTGCTCTTTGCTTTCACCAACATCCAGCAACCTTAAAGTGAACAAAACGCAGTAGTAATTTTAGAAGAATCTACCTTGGATGATTAGAGTCAAAATCCTCCAGACCTTTCTTCTACCCTACAGTGTTAACACACCACATTATAAGTAAGTTCTCAGCACATTGCAAGGCATTAATATTTATTTTCCAAGTTTTAGTGTGTTGTTCCTCAACCTTATTTTACTTTCACTTGTGCAACCTCAGATTTAGATCTAGTAACACAGTGAGCTCTCAGAAATCCCTCCTAAATCAGTCCAAGTTTGCAGTACTTGAAGATTTGGTATAAGCAAACCTTGATTTTATTTTTATCTGAAATGACAATGGTATAAACAAACTAATCACAAATCCTAGCCCCCCACTGCTGTCCCCACACCTGCACAGATGAGGGCAACCCCTTAGACAGCACAGAACCTGCTGCAGCAGGACTTACCAGCTGCCCTGCTGCTGAGCACAGCTCTCCACAGGATCCTGGAACTGCCCTATACTGAGTCAAATCAGTAGTGCTTTAATTTACAAAAGACAGGCTAGTTGGCATTCTTATGTGCATTTATTAATTACAAGTAGGTCTTTGACTTTATATAAAAAGGAATCTTTTTTAAATCTTGAACATTTTGGTATTTGTCTCATCAACATCTATACTATAGAAAATGAATAGTATCAGTCCACTTGTAATTATCAAAAGGGATGTGCAAATATTGTTATACTTTAGCTGAAACCCAACATTAAAAGGTACTTTAACATTTCTTATTGTTCCAGGAATGAATCCAAATGTACACTTTTCCATGATCATTATACACTACCCTGTTTTCCAAGGCAAGTCCATCATCTTTCCTCACATCTACATGGATCTCCACACAGTTCCTTTAATCTCCAGAGCTCTCCTAGTTCCTGGGGAGAGTACTGGGGGGAAGACAGCATGCCACTCTCACATGTTTTCTCACACAACCAGAGACCATCCTGTTAAAAGAGAGAACCACTTCAATAGTTTTTCTTAGAAAGTATGCAGTCTCCAACAATCTTAACTTCCAAGAATCAAGTGTTTGTTGCTAGAAACAATAAATGTTGCACACTAAGGTCCCAAACTGATCTGCTAGACCTATTCAGAGAACTTGGGGGTAGGGATGGAGTCTGTGGGTGGTTTGTGGCAGTTTTGTGGTTTTTCTTTTAAATACATCTTTAAAAGATTTTTTTTTCCTCTGGATTTTGATTCAATGGTTATTTCAATTCCTTTTTAAAGAAAAAACATTTCTCTTGTTTAAGCTACTTGGAACAGCAGGCATGTCCTCCTGTAAGGTCAGACAATTCCTTCAGACTTACTTGATATCGCTTGGGCCCTACAGCTGCCATCCAGATGCCCATGCTCACATCTTCACCCTGAGATGATACAAAAAAAAATAAAAACACAGATATGACCACCAAGAAAGCATAAAAGCACGACTGTGACCTGGAATAACTTGCACCATCTACCAGCACTAAAGAATGGTAACTACAAAAACCTAAGCCAGACTACTGCAGAGGTGTAATTTCCCATGATAATACACTGTTCTTACAAAAATAGTACAAAAAACAAAATCACAGCTCCAGAAGTTCCCAGTCCAAAACATCTGTGCTTTGACCTAGAACAGGCACTAAACATAGCAATCAGGAACGTGGCAAAAGTCCACATGTTCTTTCTGACTCATCCAGTACATGCTGTTCCCCAGACCACTTTAACACCGAAAATTAATAATCTTTATTACCTGGTACGTTTTTAATCTTTCAGAATTGCTTGCCAGCCACTGTACAATGTCTTTGGAGATGACATAGCCAGACCCACAGGCAAAGGCTGGATATGCAGGACTTGGATACTCCAGTTCTTGCCATTTCCCAGTTCGATCAACTGCCCAATTTAGTCTGAAACTGAAAAGCATTTAGGTATGAGATGTTTACAGAGAGTCCTCTGTGGAACCTATGAACACTGATAACAACTGAAGTAGTACTGATACCAAACGACTGAGAGGAAGAAGTAGATGAACCTAATTATACTTCGTAGTCTTATTTATCTAGGGCATAAAGCTAAAATTGTAACTGTTATTCAGTCTCAATCTTGGATAGTAAGAGAAAGTTTTCAAAACAGAAACAAAAGCAACATTGACAGTCAGGTCTTCAGCATCTGCACCTTGCTGTTGAGTTTTGAACTAGGTAAGCACACCCTTCTATTTTGTTACAGGCACATCTGTGTCCTGCTAATTAATCCCTTTGGTTAATCAACATGACACAAAGGCAGTGCCTTCAGCAGGCAAACCATTTTCCTGTTAAAACCTTAAAAATCAGGAAGCAGTGTGTACCTTCTCTAAGCTGTTTTCCAAAACAGCTCGTGAAGCTCAACAAAGGATATGTTCAAAGGCTGAAGTACAAAAAAAGCTCTTCCTGGCAGTGGTGTTCTCTAAGGAAGGCTTTATTCACTCCTGGAGGCCTGCAGGGAGCAGTCTCTGCACAGTCTCCCCACACGCTCCCAGTGGGGCCGAGCTCGCTGCCACACTGTGCAGCGCTGTGGACTCTGTCAAACTGCCCAGTGTCCCTGTTTGGGAACAAGCTGCTCTTGCACTCCGCTGGCCTCACAAATACTTCACGCACTCACAGCTAACAGACATAACGCTGTCAATGCAGCAGGGTCTCCCCCTGTTTTACAAAGAGGTTCAGCATTGCTGTTTTCCAGTCATGAGCACAAGCAGCCGAAAGCTTCAGTGAGCTACTAAGAATTGTCACCTCAGACAACAGCCCTGAAGGAATTACAGCTGAGTGGCAGATATGTTACCAGATTCTGCCCATTTCAACTGAAGCTGACATGTTAAAGCACAATAAATAAAAGTCTCATCTGATACCTGAACTCATTTTAGACTCAGTATCTTCCACTCTGTTGAATCACAGCACAAAGGGTTCAAACCCCTCCAGACTGAGAAGCATCTGCTTTGATAATAATTTTATACTTCCATAGTTATTTCAGCATTGTTCCTTACACGTCATACTTGCCTGACCAGAAGACTGTGACTATTACAGAATTTATACTCAAAGATGTCACTCCTACAGATCTTTGAGATAATCACAAGATAACCAACTATTTCACACACTCGACCAGACACCTTATTAAATCACTTTATGAGAAAGCAACAGGCAGGACCAGATTTGTGAAGCAGAGCAGCAAAGACCTGTTTTTCTTCAACTAGCAGAGGGCAACAGGAAGGCACGTTGTATCATTACACAATATTGAATACTATAGTAGCATAGAGTTTCTGCTATATTGGATGTCATACCAGAGCTGCAATGCATTCCATGGATGGAAGATAGGGGCTATTTTGATCCTCCTGGTTATTCACAAGTGTAATACAGGCTGGGAAAGTTCACTCAAAAATTTATTAACCAGATCTGCTATTTCAAACAGTAGAAATGGGTAGCAATGCCTGAAAGTCAAAGATGTTACAATAAAGTGCAGACCATAACAGAAATTCTGTTTCTTTTACCCCACTTCCTCAAGCCCACCAGAAAAATCACAGTGGCATCACAAAAAGTAATATTTACAGTTCTGTACTATGTACTTTCCTTTTAACTTCACTGTATTGCTGGAAAATTCTTATTTACTTAGGTACCATGACAAAGAAAAATATTCAGCAAGTTTAAATAATTGTCAAGGCATACTCTGGAAAGTTATTGTAAAGGACTGATTACTGATTCTGAGATTCAAAGTTCTAATACATACAGAAGTCCTGCTTTTTACAACTGACTTCCTTAGGCATAGGAGGGGAACCCACATGAAAAGAGACTTAAGTCACTAAACCATTCATTAAAGAAATGGTATCTATCTCTTAAAAGATAATTTAAAAAAACAGCTTACTTTCCCCACCAAATGTTTGGCCTGTCCAATTTTTTCTGCATTATCCTGTTAAAAACAGCTTCCAAATCAATGTAACAATCATCATCCGTCTTCAGCAACAAGTCAAAGCTCGTTGATTCAACTGTCCTGTAGGCAAAAAGAAAAGTGATGAGATGCTGAGCTGCACACCACAAACTACAGACAGTACGCTCTGCAAGGGGTTTTTTGGGATGCAAGGGGGAAGCAAGAAGGAAGGAATGTCTTTCCTACCCTTGACTTTTAAATGTTTTATCTATCAACCAAGGCTGACTGGTTGTCCTTCAAAGGAGATGCAGCTGTATCCTATGAGGATCTTACAACATGGACTTGTGTATGAGCAGAAGAAAACAAATCTTAAGTTTTGTTCTCGAGGACAGATGGTGGATTTACTAATGAAACCACCTGTGTTAGTTATACCTGGGGAAGGATAAACTTAGAGAACTTCTTTGAGTTGAAGGGACCAATTAAAGGCTGGTTTAGTTATTGACAGCCTGAGAAATCAATTGGAGAAGTTAGTTCATTCCATGAACACATATTTTGAAGGAGGTGACACAGGAAACAAAGTTCTCTTTTATTTCTGGTGGCTGAGCCCAGCCCAGGCTCCCTCCCATGGGGGAGCTCGGGAGGCCACTGGGCCCCGTTTGCAAACCAGGGGACCCAATGGTTGGGGGAGGCAGCCGGGCCCTGTCTGGGGAGCAGGGGTGGCCATGGGCAGTGTGGGGGCTGCAGATGAGCCCCAGAAAGGCTGA